AATCGCTATGTACACCTATCTTTCTGGTTACTTTTATCTCGATTCGTTTCGTATTATATTTTTTTTCGCTCGGCATAGAATGACGACGACAACGACAATGACAGCAATTATAGTTATTATGCAAAAATCGGTTATACAAATTGAATGTGGTCGACAGATAGATTTGATATACACTAGTTGCTTGGGTGGTTGTTCACATTTCTTCAATCGAATCGAAATTAAAAGTAATATTGAACGATGACTCTTGACAATTATACAATGTGAGATTCACTGAGCACCAGCACACACACAAACACAGCAAGTTTGTATCACGCAATCCAACGATGCATTCCATTGAGAGTGTCTCACAGTAGAGGAAAAAAAAATCAACGACGATGAACATTACAGAATATGCGAAACTTATAATACGGCATAAATACTCACACAGAGAAAAAATGACCACGAATGTCATTGAAAATCTATTTTTCATGCTATTCTATTATTATTCACTCGGTCGTTTCTTTTGTTTGTTGTCTTTGATGGAATCTGTTTCACTAGGAAATTAATTCCAATAGAAAATGCGTCAATTTTCCAGCAATATGAGTTGAACTAAATTTTTTCGAAATTATTAAAGAAAAAAATCACATTTTTTTACATAAAATAACCGTATATTATATTGATTTTTTTTTGGGCTAACGGATGATGAAATGCGATTCAATGACAAAAAATGACAACTGCATGCCTACACAACTGAACTGCCGAATAAATGACAAATAAGTCTCTTTACTTGAACATTACTATTTCGAAAATGGCACATGAAATCGCTAAATGTTAAGCGTCTCCCCAACTCTTTCCACAAAACTGTTATCTATTATGCGGTCATTGGACACACAGTGTATACGGTGCAAATACCGGTGATAAATCATGGGGTAATTAAAAAAAAAGTAGTAAAATACACCGTTACCCAATTGAATGACACTCTAACACGCATGCGAATTAGCCAAAGACAAAAGGAAATTTAGCATTTATGGGCTATTTAATTATGATTATGCATTTCAACTGTCACACAAAAACCATTATTTAGTTACTTTTATGAGTACATATTTGTAATTATAAGTAATTTCTACAAACTCCACAATTTCTTATGTGCTACTTGAATGCGTTGGACGCCGTAGAAACAAATAGAAAATGAATTCAATAGCCATTGTTTTTTTATGGAAATATCTTCTAAAATCATTGAAAGAATTGAGATTTAACCTTTTTGTAAAAAGATTGTCTTTTCAATTTGAAAAAATCAATGTTACGTCCGTGTTTGTCTAATTACAAATTTTGCTCATCACCTGCAAACAAAATTCCCAATTCCATGTTGGTCTCTAACCAAAAATTCATATTTGCCAAAAAAAAAAAAAAGAAATCGTTTAGAAACTCATAAGCATCACATATTTTTCGACTATTTTATATGGATCGCGTGGGCATCTTTGGATGCGCATCCTAATTCAACATTTTTGCTCCACCTCTTTCTCTTTTTCGTTGATGACTTCGATTGCCGAAATTATTTTTTTCTTCGCTTGAGTCGTGCCATTTTTGGAAGTTGCCATTCATTCGGATCAGTTTCTGTTTGCTCATCATCTGAATTTCACAATATGTATTCAAATACCATATAGTCATCAAGATTCAATTCAAAGCGAAAAAAAAACCTGGCTTCAATCTCTAATAAGCTTTTCATTGATCTACACTTGATATGCGCGATTGAAATAAAGAAAGATTGAAAGCGAATGAAATGTGCACAGCATTTCAACATGAACTTGAAAGATATTTGATTTGTTAACGGTCAGGTATTTTACATCTTCTTTTGTGATCGCCATACAATGAACATCCATAATCAAAGACAAACAAATTCCAGTTTTCGAGATGAGAATTTTTGATATTTCCACATAAAATCAGTGCTCAGATGAGCGACCGATCGCACTTTCTATATCGCATATATTGATTTTTAACGAATCTGTTAACTATATACACACAGTAAAATTCAAACACTTTTCTATTATTTAAATAAAAACAATTTTTAAACCAATACCAATACCTTAACTCGAATAAATATTTACAAAGTATCGCAATAGAGAAGAAAATGAAGATCTTTTTTTTATTATGGGAAAATTGGATATTTCGAATTTGAATAATTTTTGTATTAGTTTCGTCTATGGCATTTATAAACAAGATTGTGACTGACAGAATGAGTTCTTCAAATTTATGGCCGATCTCTTAACCGATTTTCACGTTTAGGTGCATCATTTATTCATGTTTGTTTTACTTTAATTTGCCTTCACTTTTATTTTCTACTGGCCTTTATTTTCCACCGGATTTTCTGTGGCTTATTTCTTGCGCAATCGAATTGATGCACAATCGAAACTTAAGAATATACACACAAAATTACTTAATACATTTTAATGGATCAACCAAAGAGAATGGGACGGTGTTTCGTCTTAAATTTATCATTTTTTCGGATTTTCGGATCATTTTATGATCAGGTATGCTGTTGTTTTGGCACTACACGATTCTTTTTCACTAATCAAATGATTTTGTGTGTATTTTTCTTAAGGCGGAATTTACTTTTCATTTATCATCCAAGTCACAATCTTGTTTCTTCATCTTCACGGCACCTTTTCAGATTGGAAGGGGCCTTAAAATGAAACTTATTATTAATATTTCCAATCGTTAGTCACATATTTCATTCGAAGATTCAGCATTAAATTTCGTGCAAACTGATGATTTTGCGATAAGAAAAGCGCGTCCGAAATGATTTATGGTCACTAGATTCTTTCATGATTTGATTTTTGTTAACGACTTGCTAATTGTTTTATTAGCAATTATTTCAGGCTTTTTTTCGGACATTTTATCGGCCAACATAAAATTGCATATTTTTTTTGCAAAATGTAATTGGACGTATAAGTTGTTGTTCGGATGATTTTTTTTCTCTTCGGTTTTATGGCTGTTTTCAATTTTTCTGGCTTCTGTATTTTTTGTACAACTGCTGCATTTTTGTGCAATAAATTGATGTTAGTTCTCTTTGCGTGATTTATTTCAAATTAATTGAATTTGTTTGTTCGATTTTGGTCATAAATTAACGATTAAACGTCCACATCTGCGTGCGCACCAATTGAAATACTCCGGCATCATTACACAGTTTTAATTAATTGCTATGTTCGTTTTAAGTCTCACAATTATGCTTGATCAAATTATACAAATTGTTTTCGTTCGTTTTTGTCTATGCTTTTTTCCCACTGAGTTTTTTTTGTGTATTCGCAGTTTTTATTTACACTTTGGTTTTTTTTTCAAGCGTCTTCATAGGCGACGATGATTTGATCACAGGGATTGGGCTCCATTGTCAGTAGCAATTTTGTTTGGTTAAAACGGTGGCAATTTCTTAGAATTTGGTAATTTTCGATCGAAAATTATATAGATAGAAATTTTTCAATGAGGTTTTTGCTAAAATCGATCGCTTTAGATCGAAAAATACAAATTCTAAAAAATTGGTTAAATTATCAAATTTTGGAGAATTTTCTTTTTTTCATTCAAAATTCCACGTAAAACCATTGGCCAAAAATTTAAATGAGACTTTTTGACTCTCTGACTATGGTCACCCGTCACTATGATTAAAGTCCATTTTATTTCGACATGGGCCAGTTGAAGGTTTCAAATGAGTGTAAAATGTTTTTTCCAAGAAAATAATCCAATTTTAACAAATTTCAAGGCCATTGCCAACGTAAAAAAACACCAGGCACTTCAATTCTGTTGCGCACATTTTTATTTATGTTTCTTTTGTTTTACTCTTTTTTTCTCTCTCTCCCATTTCGAAAGTATTTTTTCAACTCGCTCATTGGCGTTGTAGTGTTTGATTGCACTTGAATAATTTTTCATCCATAAATTGATTCTCCAAGCCAAGGAAAAGCCGTGCGTTAATCACAAAAAAAGTTATTAATTGCAGCTTTATTCGCATTGTTTTCGAATCACTGAGTTTTCGTTGATGTGTTTTTTTGTTTGCTCTCATGCATTGTTTTCAATTCTATTTCAATGGTATCGTTTTCATTTGCACATCACATTATTCTCACTTTTCATGCACGATTACAAATTTGAGCAAGAAAAATTAATGATGATAGTCGATGCGGTGGCAGTGCATTGGAAAATTGTATTGAAGAAATTTGTGAATTTTTCATTTAAAATTTCTGTAAAACAGACTCTGAACCAATTGTCGTTGAACCAATAAAAAAGAAACTTAATTTTAGCTTTTATAACATTTCACCAATTATTATATTTAAGCAAAATAAAAAAAATCCACGATATTATTTTCCACTTAAAATAAATGAAATTCGCGCAAAATCCATTTTGATGTTACACAAATGTAATCCATGGCAAGCATTTTGTAACACATGAAGCGCGACGAGAAATTATTCTAAGTCCTCAAAAATTGATGTGGATTTTTTTGTCAAGTGTTCAAGTGAAAAAATTTCAAAGTCCTTTTGATTCGCACATCTGGTGCAATATTGTGAAAAAAATCCATAAAACTAGCGATAAGTCACCTGACGATCTATCAAATTTGCGGTGAAATGCACAAAATATTCCAATTTTTTTATTATGTCTCACACAGAGTAATGATAATATTTTTTTCAATTTTTTTGCACTTTGGTTAAACGAGCAATTTTTTGTCAAAGTTCGAGAAATTCACTAATTCCTTCAAAAATACACTTTTTTGGTCATTTTCGAGACTTCCACAAAAAAAACTCAATCATTTCATAATTTTTCCATTGATTTTTATAAAAAACTTTTATAATTTCGTCGAAGTTGTACAAAATTCACAGAAACCGAGAAAAAATATCCGATAAAATAATCCATATGCCAAATGATAATCCAGTTTGATGCGAAAATTAATGCTGAATCGATGATTTCCTTCATCTTTTCCTCCAAAATGCGATGATTTTTTGTAGCACAAAAGAATTAAATGATTTTTTTTGTAAAACACTCACCATTCACCATGGCTACTTGGCCACAGCGTGATGTTGGAAAACTTTGACGAAAAAAATTTTGCCACTCTTCTGCGTGCACAATAAAAAACAAAATCTATTTTTGGTAAGTATACACTTCTTATTCACTCAAAGTCTGAACTAAGACTAAATTTTGCTCTCGCGATGTTGAGAGTTTTAACAATTGGGTGTAAGAGATACGCGGATTCATCGAACAATACATGCAACATAAGACACAAATTCTCTCTTCAATTCTCTCAGTTGGCGTTCACCTACAGCACACCATCGAAAGATTTCTCAGGTGAAAGAAACCCGACAATAGCCGAAAGAAGAAACCACGGCTATGTGATACGAATATAACCATATGTGTCCACGAATTCAATGTATTCTCTCGCACGCGAAAAGAGATACATTCACAATATTATTTCGTTGTCTGTTTTGTGCGGATCTTCTTTCTCAATATAGCGTAGCCGCAACGAGATCGACTCAACACCTATACAATCACATGCCGAAGCGATCGCACTCAGCCGAATGATCGAAAGAAAAAGACGGTGAAGCAGAGAATTGAATGCACGCAAATACATTCCTTTAACACTCTATTCAAGTTAATTGTTATGGACTGGAAGTCAAGTCAAACGTTATGCTCTCTTACGCGAATGGCACATTCTATATGGTTGTTTTTTTTTTATTTCATGCCTATAAAGGTGATGAATGTATGTTTGCCATCGAGTCGACGGCATTGCATGCGCGTGACAGCGGTTTGCTACATGTGAGCATACATACGATCTGCGTGTTGGTGTTTGTGTACGAAGAAGGTAATGCCGGATAAGAGCTAGTATATTGTTACCGTTTTGTTTACAAACGCGGAGCAAGCATGCTGGATCGTGACGAATGCAATGATGACGACGATTTAAGTGATCACGTCATAACACAGACACTCGCACCTGTGCAAACTGTTTCGTTGTGTGTTCGGCTCTGTCGTACGCTCTCACCGAGCTTCGGATGTAAACAGAGAGTTAAAACGACTCTCTGCTCTCCGATCATTTATTTTTGTTTGCTTCGCAGCAAAGAGAAGAGAGCAATTTCGTTTGCAGTGAAGCATGGTCAAATCATATGTTTACATGCGGCATGTGTGCCGGCAGGTAAAAACCGGCTGCCGGTTCCAGTTTCTTTTTTAATTCATTGATTCACATGAACTGGAAATTTTGATGCGTAAACAGAGAGTGAGGCACGTTGTAAGTGGAGTGCAAGTAAGTGTGTGTATGCCGTGCAATGCATTTAGAGACGGTGAATTGTTGGAATCGATGACACGATATTTTGCGGCGAATGAATACAAACTGTGACGATCAATCAAACAGATGAAAAGATAGGTAGAAGGCTTGCCTTTCTTGTTCACCTACGGGACTAAACCGAACGGCAATTTATTACTTACCTTCTCAGTTATTTCGTCGTTTTTTTTTTCGTTGTGTCCGTTTTCTTTCTCCGTTTCGCTTATTTGTAATTTTGGTGTGACTATTTGTTTACTTGATTCGTTCGCACATACAACACAATCTCTGTTGTGCATACAAAGTCGGTGCCGAGTCACATTTATATATTCGTTCTTAACCGTTTTTTATTTACTATGCTCAAGAGCACAACATTCATGCTAATCATTTTTGTTTCCTTTTAGGTTCAGGGTTTTCATAACAAGCCGGCATTTTTGCCCATTAAAAACTCAATCCGTGTATATTCTCCTTTTGTTTGCTCTTTATTGAGTTACTTTGAAATGATATTTTTTTCGGTTGTTTTCAATGAGAATACTCCTATTGATAAATTGCTATCTTGGAATGTCCTAATAAGCGATTTATTTTTATTTACTTCATCTATAGACATAAAATGTCGATAAAAAAAATGTTTCTTTTACAATATAATTTTCTCTTGTCACGTACATAATTTTAAAGCCGATTTTTTGTCTGTCGTTTCGAAAGGTACCTCACAGATTTTTTCAATTGATATTTTCTTTTTATTATCATAATCTTGTCTCATAGAAATCAATTTTTGTTTTACATTTATTTTGAGTCTTCAAAAATGACCTGCGCTTTTTTATACCTCAATTTCGAACAATTTCTACCTTAATAAAAAAAGTGTGAACCAATATACATTGATTTTTATATAGTATGTGTATTTGTATGTGGCAATAAAACTTGTGTTAAAAACTTGAGATTTATTATTTTTTTCGTGCCAAGAATGAGAACGAAATAGAGGTTCCTTCCTTCTTACTTCGAAGTCTTTCGGTGTGTGAAGTCAAATAATGTGAGTTTCTAAAATCGTAAAAGTACAGTTCTTTTCATTGTTCCACCAAAACTGTTATTATTCCAAAAATGAACACATGAACACATCACCTTTTACTCTCTATATGAATTTCTTAAAAAAATTCTAATTCATAATAAAATCAATAAATTTGACTTCTGTGTTAAATTCTTCATCTTGGCGCTTTGCTTTCTTCTTCGTCTTATAATTTTCTAATGATGAATTTGACAATATTGTGTGCTAAAAGAAGTGAAATAAAACCTATCGATCATCGATGTTTAGAGTAAAAATCACAAAATTGTTTCAGTTTCGATAAAATTTATAGTCTAGGTACTTGAAATGTTTGCTACTGATTGCTTTCAAAAGCTATTTTTAATTGAATTGTTTAATTTTTATTTGTGCTGCAATTGAAATAGTGAAGCGTCATCGATTGAATTGAATGAAATTCTGATAAGATTGTGGAATTAAAAAATTGACTTTCGTTTGACCCGTCGAGAATAAATTTACAATTTGATGCTCAGAATTATCATGATTTTATACAGAATTGATCGATGTGACCCATAATATCTTTTAAAGATAACGAATGAAGAATATGTTTTTTTTCAGCGAATCATCTGTAATAGCTCTAAAACATACATCCCTATTCGTTATCTTCAATGGAAATAAAATAGAAAGAGAGATAAATCTCTGTTGTTTAAACATGGTTTACGTGGTTACATTTGTATATCAACAACAGAGTGTAAAATTAGGATTTGACTTGACTACCGGATGGTATGATGACTTTTCTTTACTATCAAAAACCGAATTTTTGGACGGAACACCAAAATTCTTGGCTACCAAAATTAAACTTTAACAACCGGTTTTTCTCACCAAATCGTCTTATTTTACGCTCTTGGGTCTGAATCCTTATAGTCATCAAAAGTGAATTTATAAAAAAACGGGTCGATTTTCTATCGAGTTTCAATGAAAATTTCATGGGTGTCACTCAACCAAACAGGCAAAAAATATAATTTAGTGTATTCAAACGTTTGCTGAGTTCTCTTTGGAATCGAGAATTATTGTGATTAAAATTGAGTGAATTTTCTCATAAGAAAAACATTATATGCTATGCGAGATGGAAATGGGTGTATTCAATTTACATTTTCCATTCGATTCGATATTCATCCACATAAATCAGATGATTTAATATTGCCCAATTTTCACGTTGAGCCATTGTAATGAATTCGCTCCACTTCGATTGCACTTCCCAGATTCGATCTCTCAATTGTGTTCGATCTTGTAGATAAGAAACGGCATAAAAATATGCCTTGAGCACATCTTGCGGACGTGCGTCCAAATGTAAATAGATGCCAATAAATTTTTTACTCTCGGCTATCAAGAATTTCTCATTGGTCTTTTCGAATTGCATAATGATATTTTCTATTTCTGGCGTTGCTCGAATTTGTTCAATCAAATGCTGTATAGAAAGTCCAACACGAATCGGAAGCGACACAGACACCATACGGCCAATTGTAACTCGCTCCAATCCATTGCAAGCTTCGACGGATAAAACATTACCGGATCGGAAGTACTCTTCTAAGGCAATCAAATATCGGGACTCGTTCAATGTACGTAATCGTACTGATTTCACAGCACGAATGTTGGAGAAAATATGCACCGCAATGCTCAAGAAGAAAATCGATAGCAAAACTCTAAAGCGAAACAAAAGAAAATAGAAATATTGATTTTGTAATTAATATTTTAAGTGAACGATAAACTTTTGAAGATTTTAGGTAAAATATAAACTCACGAATGACTAGTGATGGCAGATAATAGATACAGTCCGACAAATGAAGCGATTAAATTAACAGCAGTCTCTTGGGAGTTGTCTTTTGAAGCAACATCGGCCAAATTTCCTCTGATTGCATGATGTTGTGTTAACGCAGAACGAGTGGCACCACCGGCAACACCAACAATCGCTTTCATCGATGTTGTAGCACATAGAATATACGTTGTATACTTTTCATATTGGGGTAAAACCAAAATTTCCACTGCCATGGCAATGTCATTCAATATATCAGCTCGAATACGCCACTTCTTCGAATCGATATCCAACTGCGATCTGAAAGTTTAAGGATTTTTATTAGATTCACGTTTTAGATATGAAATAGAAAAAACACACCCTTTCCACCAGGCAAAAAAGATTTTCCCAAAGTGTCCGGCACCATCTTTCAACACCTGAGAGTGAATAAAATATCGATCAATCCGATTTCTTGCAATTCAAACGTAAATTGATAATAATACCCATGTGATTGTAGCAGAGAGTGGATTCACGATATCGCTACCAACTCCAACTCCTTTGAGAATGGCATGTGTGGACAGTGTTCCTGTATAACATGGTAAAAACCAAATAATAAAATGACGATAATAAACACAAATGAGCAATTTATTCTTTTATGGATGCTTTTAATTACCATTTATTGTCGAACAAAAGGCCTGCACTGTATCCCAGAATTGGTAATGAATATAATCCTCACTCACGCTATCCGGATAACCCTGTGGTAAAAACAAGTTCCGGAATATTCTGTACAAAGCAAAATTTTCGCTTATAAGTGGTTTCTCGTCGGTCGCCACTCTTGTCAGAGGCACTCTCACAATTGATTCTTGACCTGAAGTGAATAGCAAAAAAAATGTTTTTTTTTCAGTCCAAAATATGATTTAAGCTCACAAATTCATTCATAAAAGAAAATTATTCGACCGGAAAATACTAAAAAATACTAAATATACTAGACCCTGTATATTTACGAACGTAACTAATAAACAAATGCAAATGCGGATCATAAAACTAAGCCATAAAATTTACATATCGATTTTTAAATATCGTAATAGAAACGGTTTGAACGGAAATTTACATTCACGCCACTTAAAAATGCACTTGTAATAAGTAGCCAATTTCCTTTGCACAAACGATTGTACGTTCCTTTTGATAGTGACATATACTTGAGATTCAATTATAGAAATGTCCTATTTTACAAGGCCGACCTTTATATGAATTTTTAATGAATTTGCCCAAAGGAATGTGGTAAGAGCGAATTTACCTGCTGGTGTTACATATAAAATTTCTTCTCCTTTTGTTCCATATTTCTCTCGAAAATGAACCCGCATTTTCACTATTCACGTATTTCAATCAAATCAATTGTGGATTGGATCGGAATACCGTTTTTTTTCTTTTTCTTTGGAAAAACAAGAATTTTGTTGACGATATGCTGATGTGGTTTATTTACCACAAAAAACACTTTTGACAATAGCACGCAACCAATGACAGTTGTCGACTGACATACGTCCACTGAACTGAATGTCAGACCGTGGATAAAACTTATTGTTATGATTCATTATCCGAATCGCATGTGGGATAATATGGATAAATGCTCTTCGAATGGCAGACATGGATATTGGTAATATTCTACAATAAAATAGAAACCGGAAAAACATTTAACACGGAAAAAATGAATGAAACATTAAATCATATAATGAAAGCTGAACGAAATTTTTATTTGAAGAAATCTATGTCAGAATCTAATTTTCTCATTTTAATAATGTTAGCAAACGTTGGGTTTTTAATAACATTTTATTGCCACTTTATTCTAAATTCCATTCAATATCTTATCGGTGGGACTTATTGCAAAAACAATGTCAAGTGTTATTTTTGAATAACCATAAAATGAAAATAGTATTGTAATAAAGTGAGCTAAGTAAACCTTTAAACCTGACATATGTCAGATGGTTAAACATTGAAATTGGCTACTTGATGGTTTTTATTTATTTTCAAATAAAAAATGATTTTTCATGATATCATCAAGTTTTATTAAAACTCATTACAAAAAAAATGAGTGCATATATGGTTATTTCAGCACTTTGTGCAACATTTCACTGTAAATGTATCGGAATGTGGAGAATATCACGCAAATTTGTGCAATCCACTGTACAACGGTTTTGAATCTTTTGGCGCGTCATTCCATCTAATCGAATCGGGCACACCGAAAAGTGAATGTATTTGATGACACGGCAGCGCTGTCTGCAGATCATTTTCGGTACAACCACGTACCTATTCACAGAGCAAACTAAGTCTTTCTCTTCCTTTTACAAAATAACGCCATTAGAGGCGTGTTGTGTTTTACGTTTGATCTGGAAATAAATCAATAAACATCCAAAATGGTATGTAAAATTTTCGATAAAAATTAGTGAAAAAGTTTAGAGCAAAGCCAATACAATAAAGGCGCATTGATATTTTTTTGTACAAAATCCGATGAAATTACTTTTAGCGAGAGAGAAAAAAAAAATTATGTAGAGTTGAGAATTTTAAAAAATGCGATGACGTATACGAATTTGCCGAAAACATGTGAAATAAAGTTTGATAGAAAAACTGTGTGCAACTCAATTGATGAAAATGATGGAATTCAGTGAAAAAAGTGATTTCAATGGATTGAAGATGAAAAAAAGTTGATTTCCAAGAAAAATTAATTAGATGTGTGTTTGATTGTGTGTTTTGTGTCTGACCCGAATACAGATGCATTTCAATGACGCAGATGCAATTGTGACATTGCACATTGTCTATTGTTTCGATTGCGTGACGGCTAGGAATCTATTTTTTCTTCAATATTCAATGCTTCATACTAAATTCATAATTTCTTTTCTCCTTTCTTCTTCTTCTTTTGATTGTAGGTGAACTTCACTGTCGATGAAATCCGTGCCATGATGGACAAAAAACGAAACATTCGTAATATGTCCGTCATTGCTCACGTCGATCACGGTAAATCTACTTTGACCGATTCGTTGGTGTCAAAGGCCGGTATTATTGCTGGTGCCAAAGCTGGTGAAACCCGTTTCACCGACACCCGTAAAGATGAACAAGAACGTTGTATTACCATCAAATCAACGTAAGTGCCACACATTTTGTTGTTGTGCATACATATTTATGAACACACATAACCTAAAAAAAAAACATTCGTTTTTGCCGTACCCGGCCGTGCCGCACTGACAATAATTCATATTTATGAATTATTTTTATTATTTTATTTTACAATGAATACAGTGCCATCTCTATGTACTTCGAGCTTGAAGAAAAAGACATGGTTTTCATCACCTCAGCAGATCAAACCGAAAAAGGCGAACGTGGTTTCTTGATCAATTTGATCGATTCACCCGGTCACGTCGATTTCTCATCCGAAGTAACAGCCGCTCTTCGTGTTACCGACGGTGCTCTCGTTGTCGTTGACTGTGTTTCAGGTAAATATCATTTTTATCCAAAAATTTACACATTTCCACTTCTGAAGAGAATTGTTCACTCCATATTACTCACAAACATTTTTATAAATTGTGGAATTGTGATTTTACCCAGCAAGATTAACGTGACCGCATGATTAAAATCCAGATCATTCGGGCTCATGACTTGCAAGAGTAAAATTCTTTTACATTTGGCTGTTATTTTGTTAAATCAGTCAAAATGATGGCAGAATATAAATGAAACATGCTTTCATTTCCAATTGACCGGCATTTTGAGGTGTCGTAATCAAATGTGCTGATAACCTCGTATACACATTCAGCCCGTTTTATACCATATGATTTCACACGCATATGTCGTTCAATTTGTATGAGAGAAGAAAAAATGTGTTCTTATCACAAGTGTAAAATGTTTTTGTTTTTTTTTTCATTGTTTATTCTTCAGGTGTGTGTGTGCAAACTGAAACTGTATTGCGTCAAGCTATTGCTGAACGTATCAAGCCAATTTTGTTCATGAACAAAATGGACCGTGCTTTGCTTGAATTGCAATTGGGTTCAGAAGAATTGTACCAAACTTTCCAACGTATCGTCGAAAACGTTAACGTCATCATCGCCACTTACAACGATGACTCCGGACCAATGGGAGAAGTCCGTGTTGATCCATCAAAGGGTTCAGTCGGTTTCGGTTCAGGTCTTCATGGTTGGGCTTTCACCTTGAAACAATTCTCTGAATTGTATTCCGACAAATTCAAGATTGAAGTTGTCAAGCTTATGAATCGTTTGTGGGGTGAAAACTTCTTCAATCCAAAAACCAAGAAATGGTCAAAGTCCAAGGATGCCGACAACAAACGTTCATTCTGTATGTACGTTTTGGATCCAATTTACAAAGTGTTCGATGCCATCATGAACTACAAGAAAGAAGAGATCGATGCTTTGTTGCCTAAAATTGGTGTTACATTGAAACATGAAGACAAAGACAAAGACGGCAAACAATTGTTGAAAGTTGTTATGCGTACTTGGTTGCCAGCTGGTGAATCATTGCTTCAAATGATTGCCATCCATTTGCCATCACCAGTCGTTGCACAAAAATACAGAATGGAAATGTTGTACGAAGGACCATTGGACGATGAAGCCGCCGTTGCTGTCAAGAACTGCGACGCTTCCGGACCATTGATGATGTAAGTTCTTTTTCTACAAAATTTCCTTCAATTTCTCTTTTTATCGCTTACTTTTTGAAACTAATTTAAAAAACAAAATGTGTCACCATTCAGGTACATCTCAAAAATGGTACCGACCAGCGACAAAGGTCGTTTCTACGCTTTCGGTCGTGTGTTCTCCGGTAAAGTTGCAACCGGTCAAAAATGCCGTATCATGGGCCCGAACTTCACCCCAGGCAAGAAAGAAGATTTGTACGAAAAATCAATCCAACGTACAATTTTGATGATGGGACGTTACGTCGAAGCCATCGAAGATGTTCCATGTGGTAACATTTGCGGTTTGGTCGGTGTCGATCAATTTTTGGTCAAGACTGGTACCATTACAACATTCAAGGATGCCCACAACATGAAGGTCATGAAATTCTCAGTGTCACCTGTTGTACGTGTCGCTGTCGAACCGAAAAATCCAGCTGATTTGCCAAAATTGGTTGAAGGTTTGAAACGTTTGGCCAAATCCGATCCTATGGTTCAATGTATCATCGAAGAATCTGGTGAACACATCATTGCCGGTGCCGGTGAATTGCATTTGGAAATTTGCTTGAAAGATTTGGAAGAAGATCATGCTTGTATTCCATTGAAGAAATCCGACCCAGTCGTCTCATACCGTGAAACCGTATCAGAAGAATCCGATCAAATGTGTTTGTCAAAATCACCAAACAAGCACAATCGTTTGTTCATGAAAGCCTGTCCAATGCCAGACGGTTTGCCAGAAGATATTGACAAGGGTGAAGTTAATCCACGTGATGACTTCAAGGTTCGTGCTCGTTTCTTGTCCGAGAAATACGATTACGATGTCACTGAAGCCCGTAAAATCTGGTGCTTCGGTCCAGACGGCACTGGTCCAAACATCTTGGTCGACTGCACAAAGGGAGTTCAATACTTGAACGAAATTAAGGTGAGAAAAAGAAATTCAAATTGTGAAATAAATAAAGTAAATAGTAGTGAGTGTTGAATGAAACATAACGGAAAATTTGCTTTGTGATTTGATATTTTTTTAGGATTCAGTCGTTGCTGGTTTCCAATGGGCATCGAAAGAAGGTGTTTTGGCTGATGAAAACATGCGTGGTGTTCGTTTCAACATTTACGATGTTACACTTCACGCTGATGCTATCCATCGTGGTGGTGGTCAAATCATTCCAACAGCTCGTCGTTGCTTGTATGCTTGCGCTATTACAGCTCATCCACGTTTGATGGAACCAGTATACTTGTGCGAAATCCAATGTCCAGAAGTTGCTGTCGGTGGTATCTACGGTGTGTTGAACAGACGTCGTGGTCACGTATTCGAAGAAGCTCAAGTCGCTGGTACACCTATGTTCGTAGTTAAAGCTTATTTGCCAGTAAACGAATCATTCGGTTTCACAGCCGATTTGAGGTATGTATCAACACCCAACATTAAACTATTCCCGTATCAATGATTACGTGAGCCAATTGTTAATTCTTCTTTTTTGTTCTCTTCACAGATCCAATACTGGTGGTCAAGCTTTCCCACAATGTGTATTTGATCACTGGCAAGTGTTCCCAGGTGATCCACTTGAACAAGGATCAAAATTGTTCACTATCGTTCAAGACATCCGTAAACGTAAGGGTCTTAAAGAAGGCCTTCCAGACTTGGCTTCATATTTAGATAAATTGTAAACGAACAATGCAGTTAGACCAACCAACACGATAACTCCAGTTTGTTTATAAGTAAAAAAAAACACACATTTCTATTAATTCAAGCAAAAAAAAATTAAATAACAATTAACATCCGAACGATCGATCAGCAGGACGACGAAAATAATGTGGAAACTTTAATTTAAAAAAAAAGAATAAATAAAAAATTCAACAGCCAATAAGAAAAAAGCAACATGTATAAGATCACTTTTTATTGTTTTACGTTTTACAATCTATTTAAAGAATAATGAAGCAAGCATGATGAAAAGTTACATATGATTCAGTTTGTTTTGAAAAGCAAACATTTTTATTGATTAAAATAAAGAATTTCACCTTGTTTTGTAAACAATGTACTCATTATATAAATGCAAGGGTGTTATTGGATTTAAAAAAACCTGGTAATTTTGCGTTTTTTTTTTATTTATCCACCGTCTGATCACAGACTGAATTTATCACAAAATTTTGTAAAATACCATTCACAATGAATCACTATACCCGATCGAATATCCAGCCACCAGCCTTGTCGACTTCGGAGCAGCAGACATCGATTGTGTTAACTGTTTTAATCTCTAATTTTTCAATACAATTTTTATACAAAGTACAGTTTCACCGTTCAACAAATATCACATTTTCCAATTTAAAAATATTACTTCTAAAAATTTGTCTCGATGCTGATTCTAAAAACGTTTCTCTTATTAAATTAAAATTCCTACAAGTCACGTAAAATGGCTGGTTATGTGCATATTCCGATGTAAATGTTCTAACTCTAATAAGTTCTGCATTTCTTAAATTTCTTTGGTTTACATTATATTGCTGTCTTGTGTATACAATTTTATTTTGAAGCGAACTAGATACTATTTTTCCCAAAAGGAGGTCATAAATTAAAAATATTGAGTCATTTATACGCCGTCTCCAAAGCGGTTGAATATTCAAAACATCACATCTAAACTCATACGGTGGCAATACATAATTCTCATCTCTCTATTTTCCAATTCTATTTTTCAAAAATACATAAAGTGGATGGTGCACCATCGTTGAATTTGAAGTTCATAAATCGCTTATTTCACACGAATGGTGAAAGAAGCGAAACATATTGAAAGGTAAACTCAATTTCACACGTGTCTTTTTTGCTTCGGCTATTCATTTGTTTCAAGCACCGACATCTATCGACGAAAAGCGATAATAAAACGCTGTTAATTTACCCGCATGCCGAAATGTCACTTTGTGAAAATTGACTTTCAAAAGAAAACAAATCATTTTGACAAGTGTTTAATGGTTTTAAGAAGTTTCGCTTTCACCAGTCGAAGATGGGCCGAAAGAGGGGGTCAAACACTATTAACTAATTCACTTGAAATTCATCCAAAACTCAATGTGCGTTTAAAAGTTTAGTATTGCAGTTAATTCGATAATAAGAAAAACAAAGAACAATGATTGATCCGGCTGATATGAAAATAGCGGTTTCGACGGCCGCTGTGCCGTATGTACTGCGTAATTTTCAATTGGATTGGGATATATTTCAATTGAGCATTGATGAATGGTGCCAAAAAATGCATGAACATACACGATCAGAAGCAGTTCAGTTCACCAGCGGAACGATGAAACATTGTGATACACCGTATTGGGAACGATTTCGAACACATGAACAACTGACGTTCCAAGAATTTGCCAAGAAATCCAAAGAAGACAATGCATTCAAAGATCGATGGTATTCTCACAGCTATCGCGACATCGTGGTGTGGCCCGACACTCTAAAAAAATCAATATCATTTGCAAAATTTGGATTCGAAAATGCCAATGATATTCTATTTTGGCTTGGTTCACCAGGTGCAAATACTCCATGTCACTATGACACGTATGGCTTTAATATTGTGGTCCAAGTTTTCGGAAGGAAATCGTGGCTACTATTTCCACCAAGCACACCCTTGACACCAACTCGTGTACCATTCGAAGAATCGAGCGTTTACTGTACACAGAACTTTTATAGTCCGGATAGAATGGAACAATTTGGAGGTACATTGTTCATACATGAATTGTGTGTGTAAATTTAATTGATACGAATATTTTTTCGCTTTATAGATGTGGGTAAAAATCGGGATGCATTCGAGGTCATTTTGAATCCAGGCGATGTTTTAATCGTACCGGCGCATTGGTGGCATTATGTGGAGAACTTGGACACGAGCTTGACTGTGAATACATGGATTCCATTGGTATGTTAGCATGCAGAATGCCATTAACTAATGGATTTTAAAACAGTGTGGTTTTTTTTCATTTTCAGGATGCCAAAGACTGTTTGGCTCGTCTTGGAGAATGCTTTATACGAATGCAAATCGATCAGATAACTGCAGACGATTCTGATTTTATCGCCGGCGAGCTTAGAAACTATATTTATAATCCAAATGAAATGAATGAGCCAGATTTAAATCTAATGAATTTATTTAAGCCATTAGCCGATGTAGTGATAGAGAATACAAAAAATGGTGATCCACTTGATTCGCATGAAAGTCAACAGTGTGGTCGAACAGTTCGTGATAAATTTTTGAATGTTTTTTGTAAATTAGAGCCAGTAAGTCACGATAGATTTAGACAGATTCTATTACAGAATTCGATACGATACAATCACTCATTCGATGGCCGAAGACTCAGTGGAAGCAAGTTTAAAGAGGTAGAGAATATTATAAACGCTGTTTGTCATCCAAAAACTGTAACAAGTGCTTGTCAGTTGTATGTGCAGCAGGTTCGCAATCAAAATAGTTAAAAAAATAAACATTTGTTTCAACAATCAACATGCAGTGAAATAAAATACGCTTTTTTAATGGTATGATCTTTTCTTTCATTTTATTAATTTTTCTTCGTCCAATCATATACGATTCTATATCTGTATACAGATTCTATAAACTGTTTTTTTTTTTTTAATCATTATCCAAAGTTTTATTGCTTCTTATGCAAAATTATTAATATGATTACAATTATTATTTTTGATTTTGTTGAATTTCACACAATCTAGAGTTTAATGGTTTTATGAACTAAACAAAACCGTGAATTGGGTTTTGTTCCTGAACTTGTCGTAATAAATAAATGTGCAAAACACAAGTGGTTATCTATATACAAGGTAAGGAAATAAGTGGCTAATAATCACAATTCAGTCAATGAGTGCACCTCTTTAAGAGGAGGTTTTTCTATATCAATTAATTATTACATCAAATCAGCCTATTACAACTAAAACAAAAGTACACTGATGACAAAAAAGGTAGAAGTAAAAAAAATGTTGTGACATTCGGTTCGTTTTTTAAATTTGAATTTCATCTCGTCATGTTAAATTTGATCATCTGTTGATTATGAATGCTTTAATTTCCATGGGACAAATGTTCATCGAAGGTGTTTTAATTTGTGACTTTTTCCGAAGCAGGGTCAACGATGAATTGAAAATATCCAAGTTTTGATTAATGCCCAATGTTTGGTGGATATTGATCTACATGAAATTTGAGAAACAATTACATTAAATAATGTGTCTCTTTCATGAAATGAAATGTTAAATTTACCGTGTCGCTGCTTGCATTTTCGTCTTTACATTGTTCCAAATGTACGCGATTTATGACCAGTCCCATGGTAGATTTTTTATGTGAATTGGTTGCGACGTGCTTCAAATTCCTCAAAACGGCTATTTCGGTGCCAATATCGAGTGACGACCGCTCTTCACCGAAATTTGGCTGAACACCGATCCAATCGTTTTCGTGCCAAACCAATTTCTCCATTGGATGCAATAAACGATTCATCTCCGTATGCATTGTTGATGTTAAATAGCCGCCGCGATATTTTTCGGAACGTTTTTCACACGAGGACATACTTTCCACCTTCAATTTAAATATGTTTAAAATCGGTACATTATCTTGAACACCTTGTCCCAATCCACGATTATCGTCTTGATCCAAGCGTCTGTCTTGCATTATTTCAATCTAGACAATTATGAATGAGAAAAAAAAAATCAATTTTCTTTCATTGTAAACGACTTTTTTTGTCTAGTCTAATCTCACCTCTCCCGAAGCCAACGAAGAACCACCAAGTGGTTGTGCGGTCAACAGAGTTAATCGATTTGCATCATCTTCGATATACATTCCCGACGGAATTGGATAATAATTGGCTTGAATCGGAAGTTTTGTGAACCGTTTACGTTTGATATACTCAAATCCATTGAGATCGGTGTAAAATACATCTTTACTTTCAATGCCGGTTGACATTCGCATTATAATTTCGGTATTAGATAAATCGCCGACATCGACCTTATTTCGAATTTCCAATGCCTTCTCACCGCTTCGGAATATATTTTTGTGAATGACATAAGGCAAACCAGTGGCAATGCTTGATTCCAAATTGCCGGTGGTAAGTAAAACAGTTATTGAGCCCGGCTGTTTCATTGGTATAGCCGGTCCGTCTGGCAAAAATAAGTAAGCACCGCTTCGTTCAGCGCCACGTGCCGCACCGTATTTCAAGAATTCCATGTGAATCGGAAAATGTTCATCGGTATTAGTTGACATCGATTTCAGTAGACCTTTTGAATTGAACGATGCAGACAATCCTTCGTTACCAACTCGAAGCGTAATGTCACGCGGCTCAGAGAATTCAACTTGATTTGGATAGTCTGGTAAATTCACCGAGAACGGAAATTGTGTGAAAATTTGAAGTTTCGAGAATGTGGTGCCACTGAAAAATTATTAAAAAATTTAGTAAATTTGCAAAAAAAAAGAATTCGATTCAAATGCAACTTACAGACTCTGCGACACAGAATTTGTAGAGCGAATAATGTATGTGGAGAGGCCAAGTGATGGGACTTTCGCTTTGAACAATAAGCGATATTTTGTAGTTGATACTTGTGGTACCAAAGTTCCGTATGCACCTTTATGCCACGACCAAACAGGAATAATTTGTGATTCAATCGCTCTGCCATCCAAATCTTCGACCATAACAAATGGTTTCGATACATGGAAATCCACAATTTCTTGTCGGTACCGTGGCAACGAATTATGCAAGACAACATATTTGATTGGTAAACTTTCGCCCAGAATGATGGTGGGCCGATTATCATTCATACCAATTGTACGTGAATCATCGATATTGAAATAGGTGAATTTGTAATCTGGTTGATAAATCTATATAAAAGAAGCGCATTATAGTCAAATTCGTTTTTTTTAAATAAAAGATCAAACTTACACTTGGCTTTGTTAAATGACGATAGGCAGCTTGTTGAATGACGAATTTGCATGATTTCAATGCATCCATCATCTGTCTTTCGTAATCTTTTACAACATGATCGCGAGCAGTACCAGTGATCCCATCGTGATGTTGAAACAGTGAAAGAGCGCGACGAGCACCTTGCAAGTGATTTTCCAATTGATTTTCATCATTCCAATCGCTCCAGGCATGAAGCATTTCAGCCGATCTGAAACAAACAAATACAAATAAATATATATGAACATAGAAATTACGATTTTGTACAATATTTTACCTCAAGTAATTCAACAGAATTCGGTCAAGTCGCTTGTGATAGGGTCTTGATGTAAAGTATCCGCTCCAATAATGGTCCTCTCGATCGGCATATGTAAAGAAATCACCGCTCAGCGATGGAAATTCGTGTAGCTTCTTCTCAGCATGAACCGCATCGAAATACTCTTGGAGTGTGCCAAATTTCACCTCAACATGCAACGATGGCTCATTGTTGATGAATTCGAATAATTTCTCAAAGTTTTTTCGCTGTGCTGTATATTCAAGTGTTATTAGAGAAATGTCAATAATTCTGATATTATTTTGATTTTACCTTCCCATTCCGTGTTTTGATTATATCGAAAATCATCGCCCAATGGAATTAAAAGCGCTCGTGTTTTATAAAGTGTCGCCTTTTTCTTCCATTGATCGACAATGAGTTCGGAACGTTTCTTAACGTTTGAATCATCAATGGGACGCGGTGGTATGCGCCATGGACATGTAAGACCATAACCTGGCAAACGCTTGAAATCAAATTGACAGCAAACCTTGGGATCTATGGGAGGACATGTAACCCATTTATTAATTGAACTAGACAATTCTCACTGAATTATTTTCTACAAAAAAAAATATTTTCAAGAAAAAAGAAAGTTACCTGGTCCGCAAGTATGGGGCACATCATATGAATAAAATGGCATCATATGCGCGAAAATGTCTGTGTCACCGTTCGAATCTAGCAATGAAAAATGGAGTAAACAATATTAAATTGGGGAGAGATTCAACTTAAAGTAGAAGAAGGGAACTGATTAATTAATCTATTTTGGGAATGCCATAAAAATGCATGATATCTCTTTTGACCTTTTCAATAATACAAATATACAGGACGCTCATTTTTTGCAGATTATTTCAACGCAAATTTCACTTTCATAAGTTATGTATTGTGTAATACACCAAAGATAACTGTATTTCATAGTCTGGTATATATACGAACGGATTTCGACAGAAAACAAATAAATACATGTGATAAGAAGTAACACGGAAAATCGTGAAACAACAAATACATTTGTTGAAAAGATAAACATATTTTTTGTTCATTTGTTTGCTTTCTGTCAAAGGAGCATTCACACACTTTTTTGCTCATTTCTGTTTTTTTTTCAAAGGCTTGCCTTGTGCCAATGCCACTTGTTTGAAATTGACATTCGATTTTGCAATACCCATTGTTCTTGTACATGTTTCAAATATTTCTCAGTTGTTCCTTTCATTTTCAACAATTGAACTTGCTGCACGTAGCAAAAGCTTATTAATTATAAAGAATAAATATTGAAACAGATGTGTAATGCGCAACCAACGTCGCGAAAATCAATCATTTGAAACAATCCGTCATAAGCAATAACTGTGTGATGTTAATACGACGCTGTATCCATATATAACTTTAAAATGAACACCAATAATTGGGAAAATTTGGCGCAGCGTGTGAATCAAACATATTTAAACGTTTATTTCGAGTGCTATTTATACACCATATATGGATTTGCGTATTTTTTATGTCAAATGTTATCATGTTTATGACAGTGCAAGATAAGCACCAAACAAAAACTGACTACGTGTACTTTTTGTATTTGCATTAAATTAAAAATGTGGAGAAGAAAAAAATTAATACAAAAAAGTTGTTTTTGGCTTACCCCAGAGTTGACGCCAACGAAATTCGAGCTGCTTTCGTTTAGCTAAATATTTTTTCACTTCATAATGTGTTCTCTGTATGAGCATATTCTCAAAATCGGCACCTTTCAGTATCAATGCCATCACCGAACTTTGGCCAAATGGGTCGATCGACCACGATGATTTCGGTGTAACATTCAAGTGAGTTTTTAGCCAAGTCTGTCCTTCTGTCAACTGCTGTAGGATACTCAACCAATGTGAATTGGCCTCGTCCGGCATGACCCAACCACCGGTTACGAATTCCAATTGACGTCGCTTCAGCAATCTGTTAACAAAATTCGAATCAGTCCAAATAAAAATCGTCGCTTACTTCAAAACTTACGTTTTCACATCGTCTTTTTCATCCGTCGACAAATTCTCGTACCACCTCGAGAAGTATGAAATTTCCGCCCAAATGAATGTCATATCTGGATTTTCAATCAAATGCGACAGCATATTGGTTAAAATCGATTTGGTCAATTGATCGTAGTATTCATCAAAAGTCTTTATCCAGCCGGGATCGTTGTGAGAGTGTGGAACAACAAATACTTTCAATTTATGATGGCTATTCCATTCGTGTTCATCGTAAGTGACTCTCCAGCCTTGTTTCCATGGTCCACCGTCGGCATTTTCAAATGGAATGGTTTCATATACATCTAACATTTGAATGTCTGGCTTTGGTTCAATATCCGTTCGAAATCTGCACTGTGAATTTTGATTGTCGCCATGAAACGGTGCTTCTATTGCCGGTCTTTCGGGCATGATTTCATTTCGCATGATTTCAGTTTCTTGTTTTTTCATCCGTTTCGCCGGCACATCACCACTATCACCTCGATGTTTGTGATTCACACTTTTCGACGAACTTTGTTGAAATTTTGTCGCGTCCTATTTTAAATAGAGAAACAAATTATAAATCACCATTGAAAATCACAAATTTTTCTCAATATATCTTACATTTTTCTCATTAGCAATGGAGTGATTCAGTAGAAAATAGATGAAAATAAATACGGAAAAACAAATTGCACATAAAATCAATGCAAATTTTCGGCGCATCCGCAACATTTTTCTCATATTTATCGCTGTTGTGTCGTCGCAATGATAATTTACTTAATTTTAAATACCAAAACTGAACACGATTCACTGTGCAACACTTGAGTGGGTCACATTTGATTCGTTTTATCAATTGCGTGACTATACCGAGAAAAAAAATGACAGCAAAAAAATTTGTTTGGGAACAACACTGCGGCTATTCTATCGCAATAATAGCAATAGTAGCCGTAGCAGCAAAACAACAACAGTAACTTGATATCACGGATGCGCTTGGTTGAAATGTCAAACATTGTAGACCAACAGAGAGAAATGTCATGAAGTTGCCTTCATCTTTCGATACAATCATAAAAGAAATACATTCCAAAGATGTGTGCAAGAACGGTGTGGAGAGAGAGAGTGTGTTTGTCGGTTAAAATAAATTGCGCGTGTGTGCGTGCCTGTGTCGGTGTGTGTGCATGTGTGAGTGTGTACGCTGACAGTGGTGCTTGTTTGACGGTCATTCGGCTGTGCATGTATACGATAGACAATACAATATCTACAAAGAAGAAGTGGCAGCAGCAGTACTAGCACCAGCAGCCTTTGGACTATGTAGTATTATTGTTATTGATGTTCGCCATTTTTAAGTGAAAATACAGTTTTTGGTGCATTGATTTGACAAAAGCGTAAAAAGGAACACACTACGTAAAAAAAACTATAACCGCGACCAACAAAACGACACAATTCGACGGGCATTCAGTGCAAAAATCTTCTTCCAAGATTATGAGCCACGACCGTGATGCCATGGGGTAATTCAATACATATTTCATTGGATGCATCCAAACAATTTTCTGTGATAAATTTTTCCACAAAGTCAAAAAACGGTTCGGTGAAACGTGATGTGAAAACACAATTTTTTTTATCCACAAGGATGTTGCATACTGTTTGACTCCGCCCGAGTAGTTTTTTTCTCTCATTCGTTGCGAAATTATAAATTCATTATTTCATGATTGACGAATTTGGTGATTTGTGTTAATTGTTTGGTTTTGAAGAAGAAAAAGCAAATTTAAATTAAATTATGGAAATTCATTTTATTGGAGAAAACCGCAGTGCTATTTACGAAAGGCGTAGGCTTAATTAGACCATGATATTTCCAGTCCAATTCAACTCAGCGCTACACACTGTGAAAATAAACAAAGAATAAAGAAATATACGCATATAAATATTGAGTAAATAAACAAATCTGCATTTCTTTTTTGGTTCGCTTCGCATTTTATGAGAAAATGTGTGTCGAGTGTGAGATATTTCCATTGATTATATGAATGAAAGGTCAAATTGCATACAGTGCAACATTGAACATCGTTCTTAAAATGAAAAAAAGTGACGATTCTCTTCTTCTTTTGCGCCAACTCATTGGCAATGGAAAGTGCATTTCGATGTTATGCAAATCAAATCTAAAAGCGCATAGCTAACGACAGATCACAAATTGAACAAAAAAAATCGCATTGAGCCGATTCAACAAAAGTGGAACGCCTTTGTTTATGTTTGGCCATGAAAAGTCACGAACAAACGAAAATTAAAGTGTCATTATATCACACTCAAGCCGTTATATACATTGTGGTATTGTGTTGATGCACAATTAAAATACAAATATCATATGCATAACAAAAGCAGATATATTTTTACTAACTGTGTCAATCCATTGTATTTATTGCACTTTTCTTTGTCATTGTGGAAAATTAGTTGGATATATCGTTTAGATTTTATATAATTGTTTTTCTCTTACTCATTTAGTGAACAACCAATTTTCACATGTCATGCTCATGTATTTCACATCGATCCGAAGACAAAACGAACATGGATCACCGCAAGTACAAAGGTAATGCAAATCAAATGTAAACATTTTTATCAAAAATCTTAAATTCATTTCGTTTTTGCAAAGGCCGTAGCGGTCAGCTTTTTCTACGATTCGTCGCGAAATTTGTATCGTATTATCAGTGTGGAGGGAAGCAAGGCTGTCATAAATTCAACAATAACGCCTAATATGTCATTTACTCAGACATCACAAAAGTTTGGACAATGGAGTGATGTACGTGCCAATACAGTCTACGGTTTAGGGTTTTCATCTGAAGCCGAACTCACGAAATTCGTTGAGAAATTCCAAGAGGTCAAGGAAGCGACAAAGAATGCCATTCAAAACACAAAAGTGCGTTTAACCTTTATTATATTTTTTATAACACATCGCTAAAAAAGAAAAAATGTTACATAATTTTTTTTTTTCAAAAGAGTACGACAAATGGTAGTTCGGCTGCAACACCGGTTACTTCGGCCAACACCTCACCCGTCACGGTTCGAACAGGTGGTTTACAACAACAGCAGCAACAGCAACAGCAGCAGCAGCAGCAACAACAGCAGCAACAACAACAGCAGCAGCAGCAGCAACAGCCACCACAACAGACTGACGAAGGAAATAGTGTAGAACATATTGCTGTAGCCAATATTCAGATTAAGGTATATACTTCTCGATTAAGTATGGCACTCATATATCCAATACTACTTCCGCTGTCTTTTCAAAATTTACAGAATACCAATCCAGATAGTCCAATGCACACCAAAATAACGACAAATGCTTCAAACATCGAAATGTTGAAACAGGCTTCATCGTCGCTGAACAATTCATCGACGGAATCGGGTCCACACAGTGAACAACAACTAAAATATGAAAACGAACGGCTTAAATTAGCGCTCGCTCAAAGGTAATGCAAATCAAATGTAAACATTCTCATCAAAAATCTTAAATTGCATTTCGGTTTTGTAGTTGTGCCAATGCAAAAAAATGGGAAATCGAATTGACCACACTGAAAAGTAACAATAATCGATTAACAAGCGCTTTACAAGAGTCCACCGCCAATGTTGATGAATGGAAACGACAATTGCATACGTACAAAGAGGAAAATTTACGCCTTAAACGTGAAATGGATGCGATGAAACCATTGGGTGGCGGTAATGCTGTCAATGAACACAACGAAGAGATGCGAATCGAAAATATTAAGCTCAAAAGTCGAATCATAACATTGGAAAAAGAGATACAAGAGCTACAGATAAAAGCATCGAAATCAAATGTGAAAGATAAAAGCAATGAACAAAGTGTAAGTGCTTGCACACGATTTATTTGATTTGGTGGATTAGTACTATGTAAATTTCGTTTTTAATTTCTCTTACAGTTTAAGCGGCTAATAGATATAAATGATAAATTTTCCAAGACCCTGGTCGATATGTGCAATGTGCAGCAAGAAATGGAAAAAATCATTCAAGATCACAAAAGCACTTGAGAATTGGACCTGCTTTGCCATAACGAAGTGAGTACACTCTATCACTTGGATTGGCACAAATCAATTCGATTCTAAGAGGAACATTTCCTTAAACCAAAAAAAAACCCACAAAATTACAAAATCATCAAAAACAAAAACAAAAAATAGCAAAATAGCAATCAGTAAGTCATTTTCTCATATGCGCGCATTGTTGCGGTTGGGGCGGGTCAACACAGCAAAAATTCAACTACGGACGTGGCAATAGAGCAGCAGCACATTACAAATTAAGACAACAGCAAGAATTCGAATACGATGATTCCGTACTCCCACAAAACTATTCCAATAGTAGCATTGACGGTACTAATAGCGGCGGCGGAGGCAGCGGTGGAGGCAGCAGCAGCAATTACAACAGCACAAATATTTATAGTAGCAATAGCCGAAGATTGCAGAGCACAGCTTGTGATGGTGGAAGTGTAACAACTTCAAAAACAGCCACTATTCTGGTATCGAAATCGAAAACCAAAACCGGTCTTCCGAAATAATTCCATGTGGTTTACTTACCTTTTTTTCTTTTTCTACTGATGAATTTTTAATTTTTCACAAGACTAGAGAACAAAACAAAAAAATGATAACAAATCAATACTGATATGTAAAGTTTGTACGACACCAACCAATTTGTAACGAATTTTAAAGCTGGCTTTATTTGTTCTGAAATCAATGATGATCAATGAAGCCATAGCATTCTGACGAACTATTCAATTCTTTTTTGGAATACATGAAATATACATACATAGATAATCAAACGTGTTGCACTTTGGCAGTCGCGGCTATTTTTAAACACAATACCAACAAACTCTTTGACGCAGTTTAGTTGATGTTAATACATAAAAAAACACACACACACAAAAATGGCAAAAAAAATGTTCAAAAAATAATCTAGATGATAGAAATTGTTAAAACAATACTCAATTTACCACAAATTAATCCACTATAGTGAAGAAGAACAACGCTCATAGATGAAACAGAAACTCATTTGATCAACAATTAAAAGGAACAAAAAAAAAACTCATTTGTAATTTAGTGATCGCACATTTGTGTGTGGAATAATTGACGTATTAGGATCGAACAGCAGCTAACGATGATTTAATGATGCTCAGACTTTCATAGATGTAGTACAATAACGCCCCTCCCGAAATGGCAAGAACGTTCTTTTTTGTAATATCGATTAGATCTGATCGGCAATGATTTATAAATTTGGAATGAATTAAATATCATTTAGATGAAAGATGATATTATTGCATTTTTATGCATTTGTAACCGTTTGAATGAATTAACAGCTAATGTCATTGTCTGTGTATGAAATAAGCAAATGAGATTCAAGTCGCTCAATTCAAATATTAAAAAGACGACGACAACAACAACAACTAAATATTACAACAAGCAAATAGAAAAAATAAATAAATAATTTAAATATGTATTGAAACAAACTATATTAACTATTATTATATGATAAATTATTAAATTAAAAATATTATGGATGACAGACAACTACAACAACAAAAAAAACAGTAAAGAAAAAACACAATAAAAATGGTTCAAATATGTTCTATGTATCAAAAATTTTGTTGGCCTACTCTTTTAATTTTCTTTCTCTTTCATACTTTTTAAAGGTATTTACATACCAGCAAAAATGTCAATAACAAGCGATTTTCATTAATATACAAAAAACATGAAAATTAATTCATAAAATATGAATACCGGTTGAATGACCCAAAATTTGGGTCATCAATATTGTTAATTTGTCAAATCAAATATCTTCATTTCGAAATAATAATTTTTAATGGGAAAAAAATTTGTAAACAATTCAAAATCGATATTTATTAGCCTGTAATTCAAATTGCCGGTTTCAATTTAAAATCACATAAATGTATTAAATCGTTTGATTGTTATTGGCAATATCATCTCTCCAATATGACTAGTGTCTACGCTACGCGCATAGGCTCGTGAGAATGTTACGTGAATGATGCAAGAATTTGACGTTTTACATTTTATTGTATGTGTCATTTCTAAAACAACGATAGTTGGACAAACACAAAGTATTCATCATGAGTGACAACGTGGTTGAAAAAATGGAAAATTTAAATGTAAAAGACAACAAAAAGGTTGGTAAAATTATTACCCAAGAAATTCTCAGAAAAATTCGTACTTTTTTACGTGGTTTTAATTAAAAATCACATTGTTTGTGTGGAAACATTAGTTCAGTGATAAAGAGAGGTTATGGTTATCATCAATCGTAATGACAGTATTTTTTTTTTGCTAAATAAGATGAAATTATGTTTTTTTTTTATGTGAAACCTTACGAGTTTTATTCAATTCTGTATATTTTGTTTCTTAATTGTAGGCTAATAAGCCAAAAAAGGAGAAAAATGCTGGCGGTTTGGCTCCAAAAGAGGTAAAACCAGAGCCCGAATATATCAAGTCTCGTTTGGTGTTATGGGATCAACTAAAAAAGAAGTACGATGAAGAAGTGGCACTGAAGGCTCGTGTTCCAATCAACGTTACACTGCCCGATGGTAAAATTGTCGAGGGTACATCTTGGCAAAGCAGTCCATATGACATTGCGAAAACAATAAGCCAAGGTTTGGCTGACGCAACTGTCATTGCCAAAGTGAACAATGTTTTGTGGGACTTGGACCGGCCACTTGAAGGCGATTGTACATTGCAATTGCTGAAGTTTGATGATCCAGAAGCTGAAGCAGTATTTTGGCATAGTTCTGCGCATATTTTGGGCGAAGCCATGGAACATATTTATTGTGGACATTTATGTTATGGTCCACCAATTGAAAATGGTTTCTACTATGACATGTATCACGAAGGCGAGGGTGTAAGTTATAAATGAGATGGTTATCAATGTTGAAAGTTCTTATTATTCGTTGAAATTTATTGTATGTAGATTTCTACCACCGACTATCCCGTCATGGAAAGCAAAATAAAGCAAATTGTGAAGGAAAAACAACCGTTTGAACGATTGGAAATGACAAAAGACGAATTACGCGAAATGTTTGCCTACAATCAATTCAAATTGAGAATTATCAATGAAAAAATTGATACGGACAAAACAACTGTGTATCGATGCGGTTCATTGATCGATTTATGTCGTGGACCTCATGTTCGACACACCGGAAAAGTTAAGGCGATTAAAGTTACCAAGGTATGTTATTTCTATGCAATGTAAATTACTGTATTTAAAATTTGACGTGCTTCTTTTTTAAAGAATTCGAGTACGTACTGGGAGGGAAAAGCCGATGCTGAAAGTTTGCAACGTGTTTACGGCATTTCGTTTCCCGATCCAAAGCAATTGAAAGAATGGGAAAAATTCCAAGAAGAAGCTGCCAAACGTGATCATCGTAAAATTGGACGTGAACAAGAGCTCTTCTTTTTCCACGAACTATCGCCAGGTTCATGCTTTTTCTTGCCCCGTGGTGCACATATTTACAATACTTTGGTCAATTTCATGAAGAATGAATACCGAAAACGTGGATTCCAAGAAGTTGTCTCGCCCAACATTTACAACGCAAAACTATGGGAAAAATCTGGACACTGGCAACATTACGCTGAGAATATGTTTTCATTTGAATCCGAAAAAGAAACATTCGCATTGAAACCGATGAATTGCCCTGGTCATTGTCTCATTTTCGATAATCGTAATCGTTCGTGGCGTGAATTGCCAATACGTTTTGCCGACTTTGGTGTGCTGCATCGAAACGAATTGTCAGGTGCTCTAACCGGTTTGACTCGGGTATGTATGATCAAAACGAATTACCTTAACATAGTTAAATAATTGTATAAGTGTGTCACATTAATGTGTAAACTTGTAGGTTCGTCGTTTCCAACAAGATGACGCCCACATCTTCTGTACACCTGAACAAATCAAAACCGAAATCGATAGTTGCTTGGATTTCTTATCGCATGTGTACTCGAAGTTTGGCTTTACATTCAGTTTGGTGTTGTCAACACGGCCAGAAAAATACCTGGGTGAACTGGAAGTTTGGAATGCGGCTGAAAAGGCTTTGGAAGAATCATTAAATAAATTCGGTCAACCATGGAAATTAAATCCGGGCGATGGTGCTTTCTATGGACCAAAAATTGATATTACCGTATCGGATGCATTGCGTCGATCGCATCAATGCGCCACAATCCAATTAGATTTCCAATTGCCGATTCGATTCAATTTGAATTACACCACGGAAACCGATGGGAGACGCCATCCAGTTATTATTCATCGAGCTATTTTGGGCTCGGTTGAAAGATTCATTGCAATTATTACGGAGAATTTTGCCGGACGTTTCCCATTCTGGGTATGTGTATATGATTACATTTCAAATCAAGGTGGAAAAAGTATTTTAATTTGATGTGATATCGTTTTAGATTTCTCCAACTCAAGTCATGGTTGTGCCAGTGGGTCCATCACTCAACGACTATGCCAAATCGGTTGCACAACAATTATATGAGCTTGGTTACATGGCCGAAGCTGATTTGGACGATGGAAATACAATGAACAAGAAGATTCGAAACGCTCAATTGGGACACTACAATTTCATTTTGGTTGTTGGAGAAAAGGAGAAGAATAGCAAAACGGTTAATGTGCGCACTCGTGATAATAAGGTCCATGGAGAGTTCACGATTGCCGATCTAATCGTGAAGCTACAACGATTCCGTGACGAATTTATAGTTGGTGAAGAGAATTTCTAAAAAGGCATATGTTAACCCGTACGCCTTAATCATCAATTTACAATATATTGCATTCTATCAACTCGCCGATTTCTTTAAACAAAATTAATTTATATATTACAGTACAGCATTTAAATGTAAACTCAAACGTATCACGTTTACAGTAAATAAATGTTAAGCAATGTTTTGCAATTCAAGCAGATAAACAGCAAAAACCCAAATGAGTAATCAATAAAAAAGCGATGAATCAGCCAAATACATGCAATAACACACAGCAACATTGTTGTTGTTATTTTCTTTTGTGAGAAGTTATTTATGATGGGAACAAAAGTGATTAGCTCTATATATTCTAAGAATGTAATGCATCCGGTCGATTATGCTTAAGTCGCATTTCCTGTGTAAGGAAAAAAAAAGTGAGCCCAGCACGAGGAATGCGACGACAAAACACATGCAACTGCACAAATGGTAAATGCTTGCTTTCATTCAAACATAGTTTATGGGTGCGTTCACATCAACTCGATCAAGTGATTCTCTTTCTACATAAAAATTACCGAACAATTAATTTCATATAAATAACAATCAATTTATAAATAAATTTTCGGTGTAGTTGATCTTCATCATCGATTTTCATTCCATTTGGCAGTGAGAAAAAAACAGTAATATATTAACTCTGACTGCATCGGAACGCCATCATCGTTTTGAATTGCAGGTGAGTGTGTAACACACACAACTACATACACAGCATTTTTGTTTGAACATAAATATGTAGCATGAATACACCAGATGTCTTTTTTTCGTCTTATGATGGCTGCGTGTAGTCGGAGGCGCACACAGCATTTCTATTGCACACACCAACACAAACAATTCGACAAATCTAACGATTGGTTCGAAGCTCACAGCGTACAAAACAAAAATATTTCTCTTTTGAACTAAAGTGCCTTTATATCGCATATACACAACAACATTTAAAACAAACGAAAAAAAAAGATTGTATTCGTTTTTTAGTTGAACAATTTACAATTTTCTACACCGAAAAAAGAAACTGAATTGTGAGTTTTTTCCAGCGAAAATATCGTTTAGAATTTCAGTTTTTTAATTGTGAAGAGAAATCGAAGAACTTTTCTCATTTTGGAATTAAGTGAATATTGTGTATACGGTTGGAACGGAAATGGTAGAAGTTGGAGTGCTGTAAATCTGTACATCTATTTTACCATTCTGAAGATTTTTGGAGGAATTACAACTTGATATCCAAAAATTGTGGCATCGCATAACATTCAGCCCAATTTAAATTAAGGTAATGTGAACGGTGTGACATGGGAAGTTTCTAGAGATAGAGCAAAATGAAGGGACTGCATATTGTAGTCCGTTCACCTTGGTGGTGTGTGGATTTTTTTTGTGTGTGTATGGTTTTGGGTATTGGTTTTTATAGATATTTATAAATTTCCATGCATTTTTTTTCTCGATGAATTTAATCGAGCATATCTTATGTTTACTTTTACTCGGTTTACGCGTTACAATGCATTTTTTTTGGTGATGGAAAACAACATTTGTATTTCGTTCTATTTTTTATGTGCGTTTTTTTCTACGATTGAGACCATTTGGTGAGTGTAATCATTTCATTCCATTGTGTTGTAAATGCACAAGAGACATTTGGTTCGGTTGATGAAGAAGAATAAGAGAAGAGACGAGAGAAGAAAAAAAAAGTTGTATAAAAAAAGAAAATGGTGAACACAAATAAATGAGAATTAGATGGTTATGTGTGTGGTGTAAGAAATATCACAGGCGGCGGCGGTATAAATAAAAGTAAATGTCCTGTATGTGTGTGTTATGGTGGTGGTAGTGATGTTATTATTGTGGTGTGCGTGTAGACTGTAGAACTGTGTTGCGTGTTTGTGTATTCGTTTATAATGTATAAGGCATTCTGTATATCGGTATGAAGCGATGTTTGTGTCAATTTCACACTAAAATTGCATATGGCGACGAGTATAGACGTGATTTTACGCTCGTCACGATAATTTTTCCTTCGTTTAAACCAATCTATTGTATTTCGTATGAAACAAAAGCGATTTTAATATTGTTGCAAACAAAATCAACGACGTAGACGTTAGGAATAAAATAAAACAGTGCAAAAAACCGAAGCAGCAACAATCATGGCCAAACGAAGTGAAGATGTGCTCTTAGAAATGGGAGCTGTTCGGTATAAAAAAGGTGATGGTACATTGTATGTAATGAATGAGCGCATTGCATGGATTGCCGAAAATCGTGACAAAGAATCCGTTTCACTTGAATATGAAAAAATAAAAATGCAAAAGATTTCACCAGAAGGAAAACCAAAAGTTCAACTCCAACTTGTCATGACCGATGAACTTGTCATGAACAGTACATTTCATTTCATCAATCCGAATGGGATTAGGGCACAGACTGAAGACAGAGATAAGGTTAAAGACTTACTGCAATCATTATTGCCAAAATTCAAGCGTCAAGTGGACCAAGAGCTTGAAGAGAAAAAGCGCATTCTAACGGAAAATCCACATTTACTGCAAATGTACCAGGATCTGGTGATCACGAAGGTGTTGACAAGTGAAGAGTTTTGGTTAACGCACGCTAAAAAATACACAGATAATCAGAATGCTCAAAAACAAGATATCGGCGTTTCGGCGGCTTTTCTTGCCGACATTAAACCAACCGCCGACGGTGCAAATGCATTGAAATACAATTTGACGGCCGATATTATTCAATGCATTTTCAAAACATATCCGGCTGTGAAGCGAAAGCATTCAGAATATGTACCGACTGAGCGAATGAGCGAATCTGAATTTTGGACAAAATTTTTCCAATCGCATTACTTTCATCGCGATCGACTGTTGGCCGGTAACAAAGACATTTTCAGCGAATGCGGTAAATTGGATGACAAAGCAATGGCTGAGGCGGTCAATAAAACCACCGGTGATGTTTTATTGGATTTGCGATCGTTCCAAGATAATTCGCTGGAGGAGGGATTCGGTGGTGCGGTTAGTGATAAAAATGGCGTTAACAGTGGCAACATTATACATCAAAATATGGTAAAACGTTTCAATCAACATTCGATGATGGTACTGAATACATGCCAAAAAACCAACGAACAAAATACAAACGGTAATTGTCAATCCAGTGATAAAAGTAACAAAGACGTGGTTGATGCGTCAAACGAAAATGAACCGGAAAAGAAACGAGCTCGAATCATGGAGAAAATACGATACGATGATTTGGTAACGGACGGCACATCCGAATCAGTGGCCAATGGAAATGCAAGCAGTGTGAATTCGGCTGCATCTGAATTAAGCTTATTGAAAATTGAACGGTATTTACATGGGCCAGTGCCGGACACACATACTACCGATGGCAATGATAGTCTCAACTCAATAAGAGTAACACACGAACAAATTCTGAAAGCAGCCGAAATGTGGGGCACTCGAACGCCACAAAAACTTCTGATTAATCCAAAATCAGCGGTCAATGTACTGGGCGAATTGACACCAGGCGGTGCACTTATGCGTGGCTTTCAAGAACAATCACTGTCTCAATTGGTGCCACCAAGCATTGAAAAAGAGCTTCGCAATTTGTATTTGGCATTGAGTGAATTGCTGCGTCATTTTTGGCATTCATTCCCACCATCGACGCCAGAATTAGAAGCAAAAGTCATTCGAATGCATGATGCTGTTCAAAGATTTGCCGCCGTCAGATTGGTACCATTCGAGGAAAACGTAATACGAGAAGCATCACCTATTGGCACATCAATTACACAACATTTGAATCGTTTGATTCGAACGGCCTCACAGAAATTCAACACATGGCAAGAACGCAAAAATCGACTTAATAAATAAATTAAATTATTACATATTAGTATTTATATGGTTACATCATATCACACACACACAACTCACTACAAAAATGAATTGAACTATTGTTATTTAGATAGACTTTCTAATGAATATTCACTCAAATTACATGTATTGTTCTACGGCTAACGAAAAACAAAAAAAAAAATATAAATTCTCAAATAAAATCGTTTAATTTTTTCAGAAAAAATTGCATTTCTCTTTAGTTTGCATAGATGTGGTAAATTTTTCCTAATACTCTTTCGTTCTTTTTGACTTTAATGATGGATAAACTCCGTTTTGATTTGACAGGAATATTTTTGAATATTGTTTTCATACAACAGCAATTCGGCTAAAGTGAATGAGCATTCACATTTGCTTCGATTGCATAAACATTTGATAGACACGGGCGAGCTAGCTGACGAGTGAAGAATTCCAATCGACCATTTCAAAAACAAATGCTTTAACAAAAGCGGCTTTTCTTGACAGTACTAAACCAACAGCCGACGGTACAAACGTATTTCACGACCAATGATATACAGTGCATTTTGAAACAATATCCGGCTGTGAAGCGGAAGTACTAGACAATATGTACCAGCAAAAATGAGTGAAACAAACATTACTTTATCTTTATCGAATTATTGCTGATGAAAACGGCATTTTCTGTAATGGTCGCTAACGGGATGATGAAGCAATGCAAGAGACCAAAATATCGATATTTTTTCCACGTAACAGCAATTGTGATAAAAATGTTGGCAATAAATACGTTCCAAACGAAATTCCATAAAACATGCCAATCAAAAATGGTGTTGAATACGTTCCAAACAAACGGTTATAATCGAAGGCAATAAAAGTCTTAAAAGCATAGAAAAAACTCAGAGAAATTCTCAAGTTGATCGAAAACTGGGACAAACGAACGTCCCAAGAATTCATACAATACAATTGGATAAAAGTTGGTGTAATTAAACATGGTTTTCAAGAACAATCACATTCTTACTTGGTGTCACATGGGCATTGAAAAAAACTTCGTAATTTGTGTTTGGCATTACAAATGCAATTGCATCATTCTGGTATTCATTCCCAGCATTGAGGGCTGAACCAAAAGCAAACTAGTCCGAAGCCATTGGCCCCAATTGAGAAGAATGTTTTGTAAGAAATGTCACTCATTGGCATTTTCGATTACACAACATTTAAATCAATTGATTGAAATGACTTCAAAAGAGTCGAATTCATGGTAGGAACATAAACAACAACTCAATTGAGTTCGCTTTCTTAAATAATAAATCGTTACCGCATTCTTTACATATTTCATTCGGTCATTTCCACATTCAGGCACAATTCAAATAAAATAGATATTTTTAATCAATACAAATTCATGACGCATATACTTCAACCATGTAATGTCTTTAAAAAATAGCTTGAAAAGACGTAGACTCAATTCGATCGTTCTGTGTGTTTGAATTTATAATTTTAGTTTGAATAGTATGTAATATTAAGTGGGTTTACTTCGATTGATGACTAACGCCAAAATGTGAATTTTTTTCTATTTCGACAGGCTCTTATTGAATTTTTATATTGATGCATCAGCTGTAGTAGTGAATCGATCAAGATGACTGTAACGATGAATACAGCAACTAAGGAGCCAATGCCAAATCAATTTGGCGCAATGAATCCCGTGTATGGTGCACCAAATGCCATACCAACCATTTGCATGAGCTTATATCCAACGAATGTTAATTATCCGGTAAAGAAACCAATTGAAACAGCCAAAGCGACCAAAACATCACAACTTAGAAAACTTATACCGATTATCTGTGGACTACTAACATTCGCAACAGTTCTAAGTATTTTAATCATTTTTATGGATACATCAGGTATGTAGGAGAAACATAATTACTTTTCTGCATTAAAAAAATGTTCACTATTTCATGATTTTCTCACTTTCAATGTCAGAAATCCGCTTGCAAAAATTCCGCTTGAATATGACACGTGATGAAGAACTGAACATTCAACGCGATAATCCGGAACTGGTGGCATATATTCGTTGGCAATTATCACAGCGTAAAAGTGTACCACCTGTGCCTAGCTATAGCAAACGTAACGGTCTGGTACCAGAATTAGCGATGGAAATTGCTAGGCATGTAAATTTAAAAGATAACGGGTATTTTGTGCAGTCATTAACAAATTTCAATGGCGAATTTTTGACCGGCCCATGGTTAGCTGAACACCTGAACTGGGGTGGACTCATCATTGAGCCGGATGCACATAAATTTTTTTCATTGTGCAAAGAAACACTGATGCAACCAAAAGTTCAGGTTATTCAAGCTTGCGTGTCACCAAACAATCATCCACGCGAGGTAAGTTCTTTTTGTTTTGTCTCAATCGTATTTTATGTTTATAGCCAAAGTGATTCAATTTAAATTTATGATATGATGCTTCGAATAGATTGCTTTGCGTGAGGAAGACAATGATAGCAGTGAAGTGCAAATTGCCAGTTTAGTAAGTGGCAATCAATCATGGTTCTTTCCACGAGCCAAATGTTATCCATTGTACTCGCTGATGCTGGCCGTGAATCGAACGGAAATCGATGTTCTCAGCTTAGGTTGTCAGAGCCAAGAAATTGAGGTAATTTAAAATCGAGGCGATTCTTATCCAATAGAAGAATATTAATCATTAAAATGCTGTTGGTACTTTCAGATTTTGCGAACGGTTCCATTTGACAAAGTGAAAATTCGAGTCATAACAATTCATTTTAATGGATATTATGAAGGTGATTATCCAGCGTACGATAGTGAGTTTGCAACGAAACTCATTGATCTGACAACCAAGTTCCTGCAATCAAAGTCATATCGTTTGGAAAAGATAATTGATCAAAATTACATTTACACATTGGTCGATGGAAAAAATGCGATAAGCAAAGAGTCCATGACAGGCGTTGTCAGGCCAGCGAAAATATATGACAAAAGATTGAGTAAATGAGAAACTAAATCAATTTTGATTTAAACGATATGAACAAGAAGAAGAAGAAGAAGAAGAAAACTATATATCAAATTAAAGACACTATAGGGAATGCATTTCAAATACCGTTTAGTCACTTTTAAATGTTGGTTAGCACGCTCTCGATTAAACAGTTTTTTTAGCAGAACAGAAATAACGCGTAAAAATAAAGCAATTAAGGATAATAATGAAAAGAAAAATAGACACGTAATGCTAGAGAACCGAAATAGATTTTCATATGATCTCGATATTCGTTTGTATTAAATTAAAATCCTCCGAGATACAAACGCGAACACAAACCCACTTAAACTCAATACATTTTAAATGCACCTCGGTCACGAAGTAAACGTTCCATCGACAGATTCAATGATTATTGTTTAATAATGCACGTATACATTCGAATTATTTATTATGTTTACAACCACACTTTCTTTTTTTTTTCTTGCTTTCCATTTCTCGCGGTCATTTGAACATTGGCGATTCAATGCATTCGTTATATATTTACTTACTTATATTATATATCATTGATAACAACCATTGCGTTCGGATTTTGAAGGCTTTTTACTCATCACTATGTATAATATGCAATTGACGGCGGTTATGCGCGCGAGTTATTATTACATGACTTACCATTCCGAAAAGCAAATGATTATTATTAATATTATTTCATACAATGGATATCTATTTGGATTTTCATTTTTCTCGTTGTTGATCATTTACGCAGAGAATTTTATCGTCGAAAGATTCGTGAGTATTTTGTAAAATATCTCATTTGAAAACAAGCAAAAAAAAGAAATCGATTTGTTTTTTCTTTATCGAATCTATATATATTGTACACAAAATCAAATTCCAAAACTCTCGATCCGTCTCATGTTACATTTCAATCTGATATTGCATTCCACAATATTCAGAGTAAAAAGCCTACATAGCATTTCCCCACATTTTTCATTCATTTTCTTTTGTTAGTATAGTATTTATATTATCTATATATATTGCAAGTATTATTAGTAGGAGGTTGTCATTTTCAAATTGTTTAGTAGTTACATTCTTCATATTTTCGTACCATCGGCCAATTCATGTAAACAACAATAAGTTTTTTTAGTGTCAATTATTTTTTCGATTGGATTTAAAGAAAAGAGAAACGATTCTTTTTTTCTCATTTTTATTTAAACAAAAAAAATTCTAATTCTATTTACTTTATGCATTTAATTTTTTTTTCAAATAGAATTAAGAAAAGAATATACACACAAAATACTATTTATTTTTTTATGTTTTCATTTATAATTTATGGAAGAAAAATCCAATCAGACTGCCAATGAAACTGTTTCGATAGAAATATTTTTGATAGAATGCCCTATAGCCGGACAATTAATCAATTCAAAATTTTACCGAATATTACATGCAATAAATCATCCCATTAGACTCGAACCAAGTGGTACTTAAGTATCCCAAGGAACAATTGTTAGCGCAAATCACCCATTACCAGGCCCAAGTTTACGGTCGAATTTGGGGTAGCATTCGTGTGTAGTTTCAGTCAATTTTACCGTCGCAATGGAAAGAAAAAATGAAAAGAAAGCACAATTCAATTAGACTGATATGAAAAAATTGACTTGATTCATAATCATCATTATGCTATTGTATATGCAATAGACTCCACTTACCGAGTACAATTTATACCAAGAGGTACTCGTACTTTGGCAAGGCCAGAATTTAATCAAGCCTAGCGAACTAACAAATAATTGTTATAAACTAATTTCTAAATTTAGTATTGTTTGAATGTTGTTGAATGAGGGCTGCTACTACTGCGGCTGCAGATGTCCATTGTTGACATTCTGATTCTGACCTCGATACAACGGCAATGGCTGATTGTTGTCAACACGGCGTGGTCTCCGTACATTCGGATGAATTGTCCGCTTGAACACCACGCATTCACCTACCGAATGATACATAACAAAAACACATTACATGTATAACAATTGCTTCAAAATTTGTATCAATTTCAATTGATTGCATACCTTTGTAGAGGATCAGCTTCGCTGCTGCGATATCACGGTGCCATACAGTTGTGAGCGTTGGTTGTGCTCCGGCAGCTCCCTCGATTTCAACGTTTGCAACATTTGGTAGCCATGTTTTGAAGAAGCGTTGCTTCTTTGACACCAAACGACCTGCATTCGGTCCATCTCGAAGAGTTGCAGCAATCGTTTGCTCACATTGGTTACGATGGTTCGTGGTAGTCCAACAATTGGATTTGGTACACAACCCACACATTTCTTGTATCGATCACGTCGAGTTTCTTGTGGAAATCGCTTGAAACACAATGGGCAATGCTGTGATGTCATATACTCATCGACCATCCAAACGATACAATTTCCACGTTTCATGATGGCTGCAATCAGTTTGCGAGTGCCTGGGCATCGCACGTGTTTTTTGATTTTGATCGGTGAGTTGGCTGGTGTGGATCCACTGGCTCCCATGTAGAAAATTGATGGTTGATTGTGAACCATTTTGCATGCCGTTTTGTCGATTGCACGAACCGATTCGATATGCTTGTCCAGTCCCAAGCGTGCATACTGTTTGGTTGAGTATGTTTCAATGCCATCATTCATTACACGTAATCGATGTTCAATGTACGAACGCCATGATGGTCCTTTTGGCGATGGCATTTCACCAATCATAGCTGCAATTCGATTACGATCGGCTTGCTCTTCGAAAGTAAACAATCTTGTGATTCGTTCGGCTTTTGCATTACGTCGGCCTTGTTTCGCATCCCAGTGATATCGCTTGCTGGATATACGCAAATTCACCTAACAAAATGAAAACAACAAAAACAACATTGTATTCACAATCACAATCGCTTTCATTCATTATTAAATGACAAATTTACCTCTTCTTTGGTATGCAAATCTCGTCGTACGGAAGCGTTCCACGTTCGCATACCCGGATCACATCCAACAGCATATTTCAACTCATTGCTGTCATACATTGCCTTGATTTCGTCATCTGTTGTCTCGACTGGTGGTACTTTCGGTTTTTTGTACAACAACGATACAGATACGCCATCGGAACAAATTTGAGAATCGAATTCCTTTTTGTTGTGCACAAGTTTGAGAATTTTCTCCACATCGAAGAATAAATTCCAACTTAGGATTTTATTTGTGTGGAATTCGTTGCTCGTGATGTTTTTGAAATTTGTTGTTCCGTCTTTACGTGTCCGTTTACCGCACTTTCGAGGCACCAATTTCGCATTCGATAGGATAACGTACAATGCGTCGGTGTCAATTCGAATGTGTCGACGCTGAAAAGTGCACATCGGCACAACGACAAAGTTTTTTATTTGGGGTTTATCGCGACGATCTTCGTATGCAAAGTGAAAGTTCCGAATATCGCGCTGAATTTCCGACCACATGCGAATCGACTTGAACCAATCCTCTTTCACAAAGTCACGGATATTGCAATCGTCCGGTGCTCCCAACCAACGCAATTCATCCAATAGTTCACCCAATCGCATCTCACGTTCAACGTCGCCAATTGCGGTGTTTCGACGACGATAAGTATAATTGATGGCATTTTTTATATCTTCCTCGTCGTAGTATGGCAATTCGAATTCGATCATACCGTACAAATTGTTGAAATAATTGTACTTGATGGCGTAGTCGTTGAGTTCGAATGCTCTCATTTTAAAAAACTTCCGCAATCGAGACTCGCAATGCGTTGTCAGGTTCGTTTTGACATTGTCGTAGTACTGCTCCCATATATATTTAAAACCGTTCCCGAACCCACCGTTTGTGGGCCAGTCAATGTGTGCAGCGTCGACAATGTTGCGGAAACCAGGTAACATAAGCGATATGTTACCAATGTTATCGACAAGAACGGCCTTAAAACAGTTGTGTATGATCGTTGATGGTTCATCGGTTTCAAAAAAATCATAGTTGAAATCGTCGAGTGCTTCATTGACCTATTCAAGAAACACAGAACACATAGAGAGAGAGAGACAAACAATCAAATCGATTCATATAAATACAATGGATCGCATAGTGCCGAAAAAATGATGAAATAATGACGAAAAATAAAATTTGGTCAAAGAAATTGTGTGTACTTACCTTCATCAAAAATAGTAACGATGCAAGGCATGCGATCTTCGTAGCCTTCACCGATAAGTACGAAATGATTGCGACAATTACATCCCGATATTGTTCACGGATAATTGATGGCAGTCCTTGCTTTATACACCTTTGGTCGGCGTTTGGATCAGCCTTCTTGTGACGACCCATTTTGCAGTCTATTTCAAAATTTAAAAAAAAAACGGAAAAAAGAAAGAAAAAATGCGTTAAATAATTATATAAACAATTGAAGGCTACACACAACGTCAAATCGCAATTTCAAAGCACAAAACACACACAATAGAGAGTACAACAATAACAATGATTGAATGGCCAAACAGTTTAAATCAACTTGCCTTGTGAGGATTTTTCGCTGAACTGAATTCGATTCGCAATATTCTGACAGTCAAAAATCCAATGGCATCAAATTCGAAGTTAATACACAGTCAAATTCACACAACAAAGACATATAAAATGAAGAATGCACTTCCACACAAATAAAATGAACTTCCTATCAATTCGATACAAAATAAACTGTAATGCCGCTTTGATTTCTTACTGTGTGACTTTGGAAATGTTCTGTTATTTTAAAAACAAAACAAGAACAGGCACAAAATTCACCGTAAATAAATCTATTCTTTGCAAATTTACAATATCTACGTTGAAATTAGAAGAAAGAATTCTGTTTGTTTGAACTAAAAATCCACGATGCATTCTCAAAACAAAGCACATTTTAAAATGTAAACAAAATTATGATGTTTGCATCTTTTTTCAAAGTGACAATGGTTGAACGGCAACTGTCAAATTTAATTCGAATGTCTTTCAGATTTCGAAATTCGAAATTCATATACGTTCATCAAAAAATTCTTCTGCAGAAAATTAAATCAAATCACTCAAATCTTATTTGTTTGCAGAGAATGGATTTTCTTGCGGTAAATAAATCATTAAATTTGAAATACAAAAACTTAACGTACAATACACATATTGGGTGGCGATCATATTATACGGTCAGAGTATGTTTTTGTATGGTAGTAAACAAGTGGAACGAATAATTCCATTGGAAGTTGTAAATATACTGGAAACTACACACAAAATCTACGTTCCATTTGACACGGAAATGACCACTAAACCGGGCCAAAGCGTTACATTTTTTAACGTTAAAATGTCCTAAAAACCTTACATATTTGTCCGTTGGGATATTACTGCTTGTTAAAAAGCATCTACTTGATCTATACATGTAAATGAAAAATGTCCGTTCATTGAACTGTACTGTGAGTGCAAATATCTTATGCTGATGGACAGTAGTCGTCAATAGCAACAACCAACTATATTAAGCACAAGCCTAAGTCTGTATGTCAGAGGTTGCACAAACAAATCCAATGAGATATACGGCGTGGCTATACATATTATCAATCATTGTGTGGTTGAACATTTAATGGTGATGAAAAAGTCACAAAACTAAAGAATAAACATTAAACGAGCTTGTTCACCCCGAGACCAATAGACCAGTATTAAGAATTGAATCGACGATTAGTGCATAAGAATTTTACAATGAAAAACCGCACACACACACACCGACACAAATTTTATTCAGACTTTTTTTCTGCACGACATTCTTCTTTAATTTTGATTTAAGTAAAGCGATAAGAAATCCAAAATAAACAAAATAGAAACATAAAAATGCATTATGTTGATTTATTTGGGTGAATTTTCTAGTTTACGAGGGTTGCTCCATAATTTTTTTTAAAAACATATATAACACAGTTGTTTTTTGTCGAAAATGGTTTTATTGTTTTTCAAAATATTCCCCGAGATGATCGATACACTTTTGCATTCGATGAAACCATTTGTCATAGCATTCGTGCCACTCCGAAACTGATATCTCCAAAACGTGTGTTTTGAACGCTTCAACTGCTTCTTCTGGTGTCGAAAATCGTTGACCACGTAGTTTTTTCTTCACGCTTGGGAACAAAAAAAAGTCATTGGGTGCCAGGTCAGGACTGTACGGTGGATGACCCATCAGTTCGATGTTTTGACCGGTCAAAAATCGAGTAGTTTGAAAAGATGTGTGAGAGCTCGCATTATCGTGATGAAGAATTATTTTGCGACGGTGGTTGTTTTTTCTTATTTCACCAAACACTTCGGGCAAACAAATGGTGGTATACCAATCAGAATTGACGGTCTTACGATCCTCTAGTGGAACGGTTGCCACATGACCACTTCTCCCGAAAAAACAGGCGACCATTCGCTTCGAAGTGCTTCTTGCTCGAACAACTTTCGTTGGGTTATCTTCATTTTGGAAGACCCATACAGTCAGACTGCTGTTTCGTTTCGGGCTCATAGGCATATATCCACGATTCGTCACCAGTGACGATTTTATTAACGTCTTTTGAAGCACCACGATTGAATTTCTTGAGCATTTCTTTACACCAACTCACACGAGCCATTTTTTGTTCATCGGTCAATTTATGTGGGATCCAACGAGAGCAAATCTTTTTTACGGCTAAATGTTCATGCAAAATTGTATGTATGCTGTGGGATGAAATGCCCAAAGATGCCTCAATCTCACGGTAGGTCACATGACGATCTTCCATAATCAGTTTTCTGACAGCATCGATGTTTTGTGGCACAACAGCCGATTTTGGACGACCTGTATGAAACTCGTCTTTGAGCGAACTACGACCGCAACGGAATTCTCGGTACCAGTTATAAATTGTCTGAAGGGTTGGTGCTTCATTGCCAAAGGCCAAATGAAGTCGATCGAAACACTGTTGTTGAGATAATTTACTTCGAAAATCGTAGTAAATCATTTTACGAAAATCTTCACGTGTAAAATTCATTTTTTTTGTTGAGTCGCAGTTTACCAGTCACTGTAAACAATACAAATAGCGTTCGTACGACAAAAGGTTCAGGGCACGAATACATACCAAAACATCAAACTTTACGAATATGACAATGGTTTACATCGGGCAACACTATAAGTACCATTTTAAAAAAAATTATGGAGCAACCTACGTATTGGCTATAATGTGGTAATATTTCTTTTGTTAAAATGTCATACACAAAATTGGTGAATGATGAATGATGCATAAGACGGGTGGTACATCAACGACCCACCTCAAGCTTTCAAGTGGATTAATAAAAAATTCCGGAATCCATGTACCGTGTTGTTGTATATATGTAGCGCGGTTTTGATGTTATCAGAAAGGCCAAAAAAACACTTTCCATTTGTTGGCGTCACAACGTTATTTATCTTATACAGATTTCCAGAAGGCAAACAGTTGAGCAAAGTAAAAAGAGAGAGAAAAAAAGACCAACGATAGCTACAGACGTCATCAAATCCGTCGTCAATCTATGTAAGGGTCGTGTTTGTTCGGTTCGACCGCTGCCGATTCTGCGCATCACACACATTCGATTCTCCAGATGTTGTTTTTCTTTTGCTTCACAATATTCAAGCACAATTTTTTTAAATCCAAATAGCAAAATGTATGGGGGCACTTATTAAGCCAACAATAGTACGTGTTGTGCATTCAAGTAGTGTTGCTTCAAATTTGATCGAAGCATATTTTCCAACCCACGTAAGTGGAGAAATGCGAATTGCGTATGAAATGAAGAAAGAAAATATTGATTTCGGTATATGTGAAAGAACAGCGCCTCCAGTTCAAAGCTACTGCTCATCGTATACAGAACACATTTTAACGACATCCCGTATAAACATTTATTATCCATTTGGTTCTGGTGCTGTGTGTGATTTTTCATCTCTCATATTATTTTGGACGTTCTTTTTCTCATTGTGCGTATGTTTTGTATGAGTGCCCTTTTTGTCCCTTATTTGTAAGTTGATATTGTCATTGGAAAATTTTTGCAATTTAAAAAAAAAAGTTTTCAAACCATTTTGTTTGCGTAAAACCGATTAATCGGTGCTTTCTTTTTATCACAGTGAGAATTAAGTTGATAATTAAAATAGACAATATAATTCATGTGTTAAGCCAGTGAAATGAACTAATATACCGCGAATGAACTCAGAAGTGGCTGCTGAATGGGTAAGTTGATTATTTCTTCTAAATAAAATAAAATACGTAATACGTTTCGTGCGAAAAAAAGTCCGGAATATTTGTAGCGTTATTTGCTCTTTGCTTTTGTGCACATCAATGAATTCAATACAACAACAGATAAGGTGGTACCTTTCAATGAAACCAATATACCTGAAATAGCTACATTCAAAAGCCCACGCACAATTAGGGCGAATATAAAACTTTTCGCACACAAGTACCATTTGATAAAGCACCCAAGACAACAACAACAAAGCACTGTAGGAACAAGGTGAAGTTCAAAGAAAAAGAATATAGAACGAAAACGAATGGAAAATTAAGAATGGACTGAAGACATTCTCAATTCCCACACCAATTCTAATACTAAGAAAAATCACATTCATTCAAACATTTTACCAACGCGCCAATTAGATATGATGATAACACAAGTGAATCGACAATACGAAAGATGGCGGCTCAAACATGAGTGCCTATTTTTTCTCGCTCTTTCTTTTCCCTCGTTCGCATATACAAACGACCTGTTGGCTATATGCCTAATCAATGCGTGCAATTAAAATTACGCTACATTGCATGCAAGCATCGATATTCAAGACTTGATTATTTCTATGCTGAATTTGCTTTAAATGGATTTTCGTCGAAAAAATCGGATTTCAGTTGTGCTGAACAATGCCCAACAGTCGTTTAAGTGAAAGAAAAATTGTAAAAAACACCCAGTTAATCGTTCAATATGGAATGTATATTACACGCGAATGCCATTTGGTCCTTTAGGTCGTATAAACAGGCACATGCACGCCATTTTGAGAATGCGCTTAGAATTTCTAATATAATTCATAATTTATCGCTCGAATCGCTCAATGCATAGAAATGAACTCAGTATGATTGACAAAATTTGACCATGATTTTAAAACACAATACTTTTTATACATTGTTGTTGTTGTGGTTGGTGCTGCTACTACTTTTTTGTGATTTGCGCACATCAAATCAATCTCACTGTCTGTGTGTGCCTTTGGGGCTGGTATGAGTATTTCTATTGAAGAAGACTGTTGAATACACACATTCAGTTTGATTAGGCACGGAGCGTAGTCGGAATATTAATTGGTATATAGTTTTTGTCATAAACAACGAATACAGAATTATATAGACCAATTTTCATCCAATCAGGAAAATTATTCTCATAGTTCGTGTTAAAAATGCACAAATTAACAATAAATTATTGCCTTTTTATTTTTTTTACTATAATCTCGGATATTTAAATGACAACACACATGATAATTCGTGAATTATAATCGAATAAAATGATATTTAACCTTTTTTGAAATGTCCGATAATGACCTAATGTGGGCGATACAGAGAAATATATCCATTCAAGAAATAACGATATTTTCAACATATTTTAAATGATATCACGCGCATATTTTCTCATTCAAAGAAAATGTGTAAACCTTTTTACAAACGTAACTCACGTGATTTGTTCGAAAAGTTACATGTATAAAGCATGTAATAAAGCGATTGATAACAAGTAATAATTTCACAAAAATTGATACACCTGTGCATGAAACGTGTGTCAACCTACTGCATTACATCAACCATGCAATCTTTGTTCTATTGAAATGTTCTCATTCATGTAGAACAATGTTAATTAATTGTTATGCGATACTAATTCATGCAGACTTACAACATTCTATTAATTGTCAACAGTTGTGTGTGACATCGAACCGAAATGATTAAAAGGACATCGAGGTTGGACGGAATATGGCTATCGAATGAACTTTGGAAACCTCTTTCTTTGCTCCTTGTAATAGTTGGTGTTTGTGGTCGTGTTACCGAAGCATCAAGACGCGGAAATATTGGTGGGTTTTTCATGCTAATTTAAATAGATACATAGTATTGATTGCAATTATTTTTGGTATCTACGTAGGATGCTTGTATATCGATGAGCTGTGTCTTCAAGGGATCGAATACTGTTTTGATGGTAAGATCAAATTTCAATGGCGTTTTTTATATAATTTTTTTCGATTATCCTTTGGAATTGTCTTGAATTACGTTAATGAATGATGTTTGGTATCACAGATGATGTAATTGGAAAGTGCATTAGTGGCGATGGAAATGACATCCATATAGCTCAAAAGTAAGTTTACATAAGAGAAGAAAAGTTTTTATCGTTTTCAATTTATTACAACACACATTTGTTCTATTTGTTTTCTGCAGAGAATTTCTGGATCCATCAGCTCAAACGGAATTTTCTGACGTTTTTCGTGACGTACATTCAATTGTAAATCGTCATTCATTACCATGGGATCACGAATACGTTCAATGTCGTCTTCAAAATTCATTGTTTGCAATTTCCAACAAATTGCCATATTCATCGGCGATATGTTGGGAGAAAGCGCCCGAACGCGGCTCAAATGCTGATGCATTTGTAGCCGCATTGGAAGAGGCAGAGAAAATTGTCGAACAACAGGCCAAAGATGCATTAGACGAAGATGCCTCCATTCAGTATCTACCACCAGATAACAACTATGCTGATGAAGTTTATTATCCACCGATGAAAAGAAGACCGGATCTTATGTGAGTCATTGGAATTTTCACCACCAAAATCAAAATTAAATGAGTGCGATTTTTTGATAAATATATTCTTTTCAGTGAATTCGATGTCGAAGAACCGCCGGCACCGTATGACTATCGCAATCATTATAACACCGAAAGTGATGGCAAAGAAGAAAGAGAAGAGCTACGAACTCGTATGGTTGATTTGAAAAATCGAATCGAACTCAGACGTATGCTATCGGAATACATGTCGGGTGCATTAAAACCACCAATTTTCTATAAGGATGGAATTGCCGCACCCGATGACTTTGTTCAAAATGATGAAGTCGATGCCATCGAAAGCATTTTTGATGAACGACAACCTCAAAACAAACGTCTTGTATTACCATCTCAGGATAATACTGTCTATGCAAATAATGATGATACTTATGAAGATTTTCCATTGAAAAGCCTCTTTCGAGAACATCAACGGCCCAATGATATTGAAGAAAACGTTCGAGAATTCGAAGCATTTGATCACAGAACCAACGATCCAACTGAATACCATCGAAGATTATTTAAAGAGAGTCGACCAAAAGAACAGTCGGCCGTTTACACTGAAGGCGGCTTAGTCTATGGTCCAAGTACTCACATAACATCCACACATCACCGAAAAAGTAAGCACCAAAACACTTCGGGATATGTACAGTTTTTTTTTAAATAATGAATACTCATTTTAGATAATAACGGTTTCAATCGGACAAAAAGTTTGGAAGAAAAAAGTTTGGAGGATTTATTGAGTTTTACTCGGCACGAGCGATTAGATGTAAAAAAGCCCGGTCCACCTGCTGATATTCCACTTGAAGATCACCCAGCGATAAATGTCAGTGCAAGGAAAGCAGATAATAACGAAGGGAATAAGAATGTATTGAAATGGTCTAAAGTAAAAAAAGTTTCACACTCGGACATTGATGATGATCATGCTCCACATTCGGTTGACACCGAATTTGCTTATGTCATCATAAAAGGACCGTAAGTTCAACTTTCTCTAGAACTTTCTTCATTTATGAATCAAATTAAGTTCAAATACAATTAAATTTTATTTATCTTTTATCATTCAGATTGGATGATTGGAATAAGGGACCTCGTCTCCTTTCCGAGATCGCCACCATGTTGAATATGGAAGGATTACTAACATCGATTCGAGTCGATCGTCATGAAATTGCATTCCGCGTTGAAAATAACCCAAATAGAACAGCACACGATGTGGCACGTGCTATTAATGATGATCGTTTCAAGGCCAATTTGTCGCGTCGTTTTGGCATAACTGTGCTTCATGCCGGTGTTGGAAATAAAACGAAAGAAAGTAATGGCGTTTCATCGACATACCTGCGAGATCATGGGGAACGTGATAATTTGTCATATATGATGCCATTCATGCTTGCTGCCGCCGCAGCTGCTGCCTGTATTATCATAATCATAATGGTCTGCTTCATTAGAGGTCACGACAAAACCAAGTACAAATTGGGCGATTTACAAAGCAGCTTCTCAAATCCGGCGGAAAAAGATTATCAAGATCTTTGTCGATCACGAATGACAACAAAAAATTCCAGCAGTAATATACCGGCTGAGCGTGTTATCATGACAAGCACACAAAATGAACGTCCCCCATCGTCTCGTTCAAGTACGTCGTCATGGAGCGAAGAGCCGGCTTTAACAAATATGGACATTTCCACTGGACATATGGTGCTTGTATGTGTTTTCTTTGTAAATTGTATTCAATGAACTAAATTTCGTGTCATTTTCAGTCCTACATGGAAGATCATCTTAGAAACAAAGGACGTTTACAACGAGAATGGGATGTTTTGTGTCGATACGAAGCTGAACCAGGTGCACGTGATGCTGCCTTGCAGTCACAATGTGCTCAATTAAATCGACCCGATGCACCACTTCCATACGATCATTCACGCGTCGTTTTAAATCATTTGATCAACGCTGAAGGATTAGATTACATCAATGCATCGTCTATCGTAAGCAAACTATCCTTGATTTACGTTAACATTAGTATGATTATGGTTATATTATTTTTTCTTCTCTAGACGGATCATGATCCACGCTGTAGCGCTTATGTTGCCGCACAAGGGCCGCTTCCATCAACGATTTCACACTTTTGGCAAATGATTTGGGAACAGGGTGCGGTTGTGATTGTGGCGCTTTGTCGTTTACAAGAGAACAACGAAAGTGCATGTGCTCGATATTGGCCAGAAGAAGGCAGTGAAGTCTATCACATTTATGAGGTACATTTGGTGAGCGAACATGTATGGTGTGATGACTATTTGGTTCGGTCATTCTATTTGAAAAATCTACGCACTGGCGAAACCCGAACGGTAACACAATTCCATTTCATGAGTTGGCCACAAAACGGCATCCCAACATCGGCAAAAGCATTGCTCGATTTCCGACGCAAAGTCAACAAATCCTATCGGGGTCGATCGTGTCCGATTGTTGTGCATAGCAGCTCTGGAGCTGGACGAACCGGTAATTTCATTTATTCAAAATTTATCACTTCAATTTGAGAATTATATTACTGTGTTGGGATTTTCTAGGTGCATATATTCTATTGGATTTGGTACTGGGTCGCATGAACAAAGGTGCTCGTGAAATTGACATCGCAGCCACTTTGGAGCATTTGAGAGATCAACGAGCCGGACTAGTTGCAACACGACAGCAATTTGAGTTTGTTTTAATGGCCGTCGCCGAAGAGGTATGTACCGTGTACCCACTTGAAAAATGTTTAATGCAAAAATGACATTACAGCGACACTCGAGTGATCACTAACATTTAACTTTCATTTCTTATTCATATAGGTGCATGCCATTCTGAAGGCATTACCACAAACTACGCAGAGCGACAAACGTGAACTGGACAATGAGACTGTTAAAGAACATGACGATGAAAATGCACAAAAAACATCGAAAGATGTGACGGCAGGCACAACAAAGGAACAAAGTAAAAAATAAGCAGGGAATCGAATGAGTCAAATCATAAAAAAATATACAAAAATCCAATTGCATGAATCAAATTCAAGTGGGAAACGTGCAAATGTGCATTTTAAAACAATTCAAATGACAAAAAAAAACAAATCTAATCATTGCTTTCGAATTACACAGTGAAAATAGTTCCAAATAAATAGTATTTGAAGCATCTTCGGAACCGATAATCTCATAAATGGCTAAATCTAAACAAAACCAAAAGAAAACTTCGAAACCAAACTAAATAAAAAACTAATATAATATATGTGAATTTATATCTGTCGCTGCAACTTGATCATCATCAGTACACATATTATTTATCGAATAAAAAGAAGAAGAGTAAAAAAATAAAAAAAATCACTAAACACATAATTCCATATTTTTTGAGAAATGAAATATAACAAAAAAAAATTCTACTTATTTATTATATGCACACAAAGTTATTTATCAAAAAAAAAAAAAAGATTTGAAAAAAGTGAAAAAAAAAATATTTTAAAAGAATATAATAATATATTATCTCAGCTCACCACAAAGATTTATTATATACATAATGGAATATTTAAATATAAATGTCGTTTAATGCAAAAACAAAATTAAACATTTTTATTTTTTTGATTTTGACACGCAAAATTTAAACAAACAAAAATCTAATCTACACCGAAACACATCACAAAACACATACAAAGAAGAAATTCCAAGAAAATAAATAAATATATATATATATATTTTTAGTCATATTTACTAAATGGTGCAAAAAAGGGGAGATGACGATCACTAATGAAAAAAAAAATATTATACAGAAATCGAACTGACATGAATTTACACATACATAAACCCAAAGTCGCGCTCTCTCTCTCACATTCTCTCTCATACAAATACAAAGTACACACATTTTATTTATTTATTTATTTTTCTAAAAATCAAATATGGATAGTAATTTTGCAAAAGTTTCACAGCAAATGACAAAATTATTGCAATTAATAAAACAACTATTCTATGTAAATGTAAAATGTATTGTCGTCAATTTTGGAGTTGGCTTGATATATCTAAATAAAAAAATGATCTAAACTGAGATGCCACAATCTCCAAAAAATTATGATAGCGGTTTTATTTTTATTTATTTGTGCAAGCAGCAGATACGATAACAAAATTACTTCAATTTTAGCCAGAATATTGCTCAGCGCTGCTGCCATCCACAGCATATTAAAATATCTTGCTGAGAATGCGTCGTCCGTCGCCATGCGAACGTACGTAGCAGTTTATACATCACAGCGAACAAGAATGAATGCATTGTTCTTCACGACTCAAAATATTCAAACGATTGAATAGAGAACAATGCATGATAAACTGCTACGTACCTTCGCATGCGACGGATGACGCATTCTCAGCAAGATATTTTAATATGCTTCCGATGGCAGCAGTGCTGAGCAATACTCTGATTTTACCTCTACACAGAGAGAAAATGTGCGGTGTATTTAATACAATTTTTAAATCTTATTGGTTGTTTGATTTTATATTAAATCTACCAAAATTGAATTAAATTAAGTATACCGTCTCTCTGTGTGTATTTACTGAATTTAAAGTAGAGATTTCCCAATTAAAATCGGTCCGCTGTAAGTATTTCAGCAAATCTTATTCATCTTTCCATATGTAGCTTTCATAAAAATGTTCAATTCACGGTAATTATTGTATATTTTATTTTATAAGGATGATTACGGAACGGCTAAATTTTTTTAGCCATACAGTCAGTCGACTTTTGGGTTCGTTGTGTTCCAATTGGAAATCTATCCGTATCGGTGATGTTGCTCGGCATTACAAAGAATAAATGGTATTCATGGAGCCAGATTCGATAGCCACTATGTTGAAAATATAATATAGTAGGCCGGAATGTCATCAAGATTCAGTTAAACAAACCACAGAAAATATTATTCAAACAAAACAGATATTCTAATCATTTTGAGTTTATTGATGAACACAAATATAGCTCAGCTATTTGTAAAACCATACAAAACAAAAATATAAAAACATAAATATTTTGCTCGAAAATTGAATTTTTTCTCGAAAAACTACTTAAACACAGAAGCGTCCCCAGTTCAAATAATATTCAGCCATTTATTAATTAGCTGTGTAGACTAACGGAAATTTGATTTAAATTGACTGTATCACATGCGTTCTGAAGGCATTGAACGCAACCTCAATCACTATTTACTTGGCCTTACTTTTTTCCTTAAAAGTGTACCGATCTTCTCTTGCTTCATTCTAACAAAGTATTTTTTGAGTTTATTCATTCAAAAATTTCTGAAGTTCTTACAAAGTCGATATACAGTAGATTGCCAAATGTCGACACACGACCAAATGTCGGAATACCGAGAGGTGAATTGAAATTAAAAATTGAAAATTCATTTGAATTGCATTTTTAAAAGTAAATTATGAAAGATCAATATCAAATCTCTTTATTATAATCCAAATTTTAATCAAAAATCTATTATTGCTTTCACAAATTACGTTCAAAAAAAATTCGGCATTTTTATCACTTTTTCACGTCAAAAGTTAAACTATGTCATTTTGAGACAAGCCAAAAAAGAGTCCAATTTTCGTTCAAAATTTATACTTTATGTAGACTTAAACGCTCAAAAATACAGTGATGATTTCACGTTAGCCAGCGTTGTCTTAGCCTTGGTGTATACCAACAACTGGTGTACACCAATCGTTAGCCAGCTATCTGTGTGACTACGTAAGATAGTCGCTGGTATACGATCTAAGTGAACAACGGCAACGCACGAGAACGAAGTGAATGAATAGCGACAACGCACGAAGGCAAAAATGTTAATCCGTTGCCGCTATTCACTCATTTCGTTTTCGTGCGTTGCCGTTGTTCACTTAGATCGTATACCAGCGACTATCGTACGTACGATTGGTGTACACCATCGTTAGCTGGTGTATACCAAGCTGGTTAATTAGCCAGCTAATTTGTTCATCACTGCAAAAATATGTATTGGGGGTTTTTTGGTACGAGAAAACCGAATCCGAGGATAGTTTTGAGATACAATTAATTTTTGATACAGTTTCCTTGAAAAAATCACAAAAAAATTGCATTTTTGTATGGAAGCCATGCATGTATGCTACGTAGCCTAGCTCCGGACGCTTAAACGATTTGGGATGCTCCAGGGGCATAATACTTTTTCTTTGTTTGACTCATTTGATTGGCTTTTAAATAATAAAAATAATAATATTTTTATTATTATCTAATTATTCGGTCGGAATTTTGGGAACGTTCAGCATTATTAAAATATAATAAGTTATAACTCAAGTGGTATTCACAACAAATAGAAAAGATCCACAATGCGAATCAAGTTGAATTTCATAAAAGTTGTTTTCCCGGCCACTCTAGGGTACAGGGTACGTACATACATTCGGACATCGAAAAAAAGCTAGATTCGTGTTCCATGGCCCCGAAAACACGCAGAAAACATGTTTTTGGGGGGTCTTAATTTTTCGACCGATTCCAATACTTTACCTTACACACGAGGTATGTGCGGAAAAGGAAAAAGAAAGAAATTTGAACAATAAATTCACACATTTTTCGTCATTTTGCAGTACTTTTATTAAATCTTTATAAAAGTTGGCTATGCCGGGTAATTTTTTTCGATAAAACCCTTTATTACACCCCAAACATGTTTTGTTTGTTTTGTGTGATTTCAAAACTTTGATAATGATTCGAAAAAAGCAAAAAAAAGCGTTTTCAATTATCCTGGATACAATCGGCACAGTACTTTTTAATTATATGACGAACATAGTCCGATTCCTTCTTAAAGGATAAATTCAATTCTAGTTTTTCGGCAAAAAATCTAAAAAGTTCAAATCCATACATTGCGTCTTTAGCTGCGTACGATATTTGCATATCATCTAACTCTTTGCGTTCCCAGTTCGACAGCGTAATTCTTTTATTTTTGTACAATGGAGCATTCAGAAAAGTATGTGACATGTTTTCTAGGCCTCCGCTATGAAAACCACACTTCACCGCCATAGAACCGACGTCAAGTGTACTACTAACATAGATTCCATCATTTCCCAAAGCTTTTGCATCAGCGTGCACACATTTTCCAACTTTGATGATGCTTTTATCCCGCATGATATCCTATTTTAATAAAAAAAAAATCGAATTTTAAACATTTGTTCATTGATTCAATATAAAAAAAAGTGTATACCTTGAGCTCTTTTGGAATTACTTTGATATGGCACAAACGAATGAGCGCACAGAGACCTTGATGTGTTGCCAATTGTAACAGCGACTCTCCTCCACTCTTTTTCCACGCAAATCGCTCACAATCAAATCCTATGACTGGGTATTCTGCACAGTGTCTAGAGAGTTGAAACATTTTATGAAGAAAAATCGTCTTTTTACCAAAGGACCTTTAATTTAATAAGGTACACTGCACTTACGATTTAATCTCTTGCATCACTTTCACGCATTGATTTTCGTCATCAACAATGCGTATGTCTTTCGGTTGCAGTTGAACGGTGACCATTTTGTATTCTTCATTGAAGTGTTTGGCGCAATGAACTTTGATGACATTTTTAATAAACTGAGATTGTTGATCGATATTACTGTTGACATTCAGTTTTTCAGCAAAAGCATTGAAAAGTAGAACAGATCCTTGGGCATGATTTACACCAGATTTGATCTCGGTTATTTTTCTGCTTGCAATTTCATTTGCTTCCTTTTCGACGAATCGTCTTACCATCTTCGTTAAGCTAGTTGGCTGATGGCCACACAATTTGGCCATGTGACGCAAATCAAATAGACTATTGATTCGAATACCATACCGATCAAATATTTTTTCGGCATCCTTTTGCAGGGCGAAGCCTACTTTCATAATGTCATCTCGTTCGAATATTTCCTAAAAATCAAAATTAATCAATTTTTGATTTACGGTTACAATTTGATTTGTTCTACCTTCAGCAGGGTATTTTGAACGATTTCCACGTTTGTATTTGGCAATTGTACTAACAAACAAACACCCTGTAATGAAGCTAGTTGTAGCATCGCCGTTTTCTCTTTGTCGCAATTCCAATTACAGGCCAAGCCAATCACATTGTTTTCATTACAACAACTGAAAGAAAATATTGAAAAGAATAATTATTGAATCGAATTGCAAAGGAGAAATGAAGAATTCTTACGAAATGAGTTCCTTCAATAGATTTTGACTTTCATCGCTTTCCAGTTGTAAATACTTTTCCGATCGACAGTATTTTTGTACTTCATTCGATTGTTCTCGGACTTTGTCAAGGTGTTGCGCACAGTACTTGACGATAAACTCTCTGACTGTTTGCTCATTCAAATGCATATCCGGCAAGCTTTTGCTAGCAAAACATTTAAATAGTTCGATGCAAGAGAGCGCACTGTCTACCGCGAATTTGATATGCTCCGTTTTCAATTTATTTTCCAGCCAACCTTCGGTGAAAATGGAAATTTCAGGAAGCTCTTTCTGCAGATATACTTTAGACAATTCTCTCAACGTAGTAGGTGTTGAATCGATTTCCTTGGCCAAATCACACAAATCCAATTTGCCTACAACTTTCTTTTTACACTTGCCCTTCATTCGAAAATTGAATCCTCTGGAATGCACCTTCACTATGTCTTTATTTGCTAATAATTCCTGTCGTGAAAATAGTATACATGACTTTACAATTTTATTATTTTCATGATTATTTTCAAGATATTACCTCCAGTTCTTTTGGGATACATTTCAATTGCGTCAGACGAAACATCACAACGAAGCCATTATATGTTGCAAACGATAAAACATCGAATGGTATCGGCAACGTTCTTGGTTTACCTTTGTCCCAATCACCATGAATACCAAGCACACCATAGTCTTTGCAAGATCTGAAATATTTACAAGAAAGCAAAGATATCACGTGACGTTAGTTAAAGGTATGTAAGTTGAATTCTTAACATACGATTTAAGGATTTCGATTGCCTTTTTAAATTCCTCTGTATTTGTGACAATGCACACGTTTTCAATTGGCTGTTGTGCTTCAATTTTTTGATTTTTGATACCATTTTGGGTCGGCTTTTGATTAACACACGCCAAATTTGCACTCATGTTTTGAAATTATTTATTTAATGTAACCAAAAACAATATGCAACAAAATTATAGACAAAACACATCTAAATCTAATACTATTCAATAAATGTAAAAATATTTGGCCGATTTATTATAGGTGAACTGAAATTTGGTAGCGGTGTGGGATATTAACCAATACTAACCAAAACATTGTGAGAATGACAGGAGGTTTATTGGATTGATCGTGACGTGAGTAGACACGAAAATTTGACAGATGTTTCCAATGACGTGAAAAATTTGATTTTTTGAGACTTTTCATCAGAAAATTCGTTGCTTTTCATTTTTGTTGCATTCAAATGGTTCATAACACAATATTTCATTTGGAAATAAATATAATCAATGAGCAGCCTCGAGTACAAGAGTGCAATCCTGATTTTCTTCAACTTTGGCTTGTGTATATTATCAAGTTGATGTAGATGGACAATTCTACCTGGACAGATGAAATTATTGAACGAGATGACTAATTGCATAATACCCATATAATTCATTTGCGGAGTAATTTTGACGGTGGCGGGACTGTGCGGAGTTTGGCGGAGATGACATACAAACTCTGTGTGTACGAGGGTAACAGCACTTCTATGTGCATCATTCGTACGCAGATGATTAGTAACTTAGTTGTGTGTACGGCTACTAAGATGTTCGTTTGGAGAAAATAAATCTATGAACAGCAAAGAATGCTGTTGCACTCGTACACACAGCATTTGCATGCTATCTCCGCCGAACTCCGCACAGTTTCGTCATCGACAAAATTACTCCGCAAATGAGTTATATGGGTAGCTGAATGATTTTTTGAATGATTTTGCTATGAAAAATTTACATAGAAAATATTAATTATTTTTTTGTGTAAAATCAACACAGTTTTGTGAACGATGTCAAAATGTAATATCAATGGCCAATAAATTTATGATGATGAATTAAAAAGTATCAAAGGTGTTAGAAATATTCGGACTTGAGCGGTCATTCTTGAACGCATCGAAGACCAATGAAAATACTTACGGGTACCTTTCCTTATTGCATTTATTACTTTTCCGCACACATAGTGTAAGAAGACTTCAGAAACATGTTTTCTACCTATTATTGAGGTCAGAGAACACGAATTTGGCATTTTTAAACATGTTAAACATGGTTTTTGTTAATATGTTACGTTGTACGTCGTACGCAAAATTTGTTAGCAAGGTTGCGCTCATCGTAGAAACTTAATTCAAAATCTGACTTTACAGGATGATTGGAGGTCGCGAGGAATAGAAATCATTAGATTTTGAGCGACTTTGGTTGTGGAAAAAAATTTCATGCCTGGAGTGATACCTATGAAAAAGAGTCCAATTTTCGTCCAAAAGTCATACTTAATGTAGACTTAAACACTCAAAAATATGTATTGGGGGGTTTTTTGGCACGAGAAAACCAAATCTGAGGTTAGTTTTGAGATACAATCAACTTTTGATACAGTTTCCTTGAAAAAATCACAAAAAAATTGAATTTTTGTATGGGAGCCATGCCTGTATGCTACCTTAAGTAAGTGTTTCAAAAATAATTTTTATGGCAAAATTAACGTCAGACATATTTTTTTATAGTGTTATGCTAGAAAATAGAATACTTTCAAATGTCGTACAAATCATGAAAGTGTGAAAAATCTTTTCTCGAGTACTTCTGCTATTAAATTAAACAATATTTCGATGTCAAGGTTTGAACCTATTTTTTGGTCTCGAACTTTACGCCGCTTGAAAGGCTTGACAAATCGAACAAATATTATATTTCTTTCATAATTTCATTTAGAAAAGCAAAGAGAAGGCAAATATGACCTCTGTTACTTTTCCGCACACATAGTGTAAGGTGAAAAGTATTGTAATCGGTCAAAATTTTGAAAACTTCAGAAACATGTTTTCTGGACGTTTCTGAGGTCAGAGAACCCGAATTAGGCCGTTTTGAGCATTGTTTATGTTAATCTGTACGTCGTACGTTGTACGTCGTACGTTGTACGTCGTACGTTGTACGTCGTACGTTGTACGTCGTACGCAAAATTTGTTAGCAAGATTGCGCTCATAGTAGAAACTTAATTCAAAATCTGACTTTACAGGATGATTGGGGGCCCCGAGGAATAGAAATCATTAGCTTTTGAGCGACTTTGGTCGATGGGAAAAAATTTCATGCCTGTAGTGATACCTATGAAAAAGAGTCCAATTTTCGTCCAAAAGTCATACTTAATGTAGATTTAAACACTCAAAAATATGTATTGGGGGTTTTTTTGGCACGAGAAAATCGAATCCGAGGTTAGTTTTGAGATACAATCAATTTTTGATACAGTTTCCTTAAAAAAATCACAAAAAAATTGCATTTTTGTATGGGAGCCATGCCTGTATGCTACTTTAATGACGTGAAACTTTGCACAGACTATTTTTTACACAAAATAATAACATTCTGAAAGTTTGAAGAGATTTCAATCAAAATTAGGGGTACCTCCCATACAACATTTTCAGTTTTTGGCTCAAAAACGAATATTTCGCATGGGAGGTACTCTTAATTTTGGTTGAAATTTCTCCAAACCCTCCGAATGTTATTTTTTTGTGAAAAAACAACCTGTGCAAAGTTTCACACCATTAAGGTAGCATACAGACATGGCTCCCATACAAAAATCCAAATTTTTTGTGACTTTAGTTATGAAAAGTGTTTCAAAAATAATTTCTATGGCAAAATTAACGTCAGACATATTTTTTTGAATGTCATTGAAAAATGATTCCATTGCTTAAAAAAAGAAACGTTTGTGGTGTACTGCGGTTAAACAGTGCGGAAAAGTTCGTCTTACGTTCGTAAGACCATTTATTTTTGATTGAAAATGATAAACGTATGTGCATGAATGATGTTTTAGTATTATTTACACTTTCGAGTCATAATCCTGCTGACTGAACGTTAAACTTGATATTCTTACAATTATAGTTAATTCAAAGCCTTGGCCCCATCAACTGTGTCCGGCAATTTTTTCGAATAAGTTTCTGGACAGAAAATAATGAGAATTGCTGCTAAAATAGCTGAAGTACCAAAAAGAAGCGCCGATGGACAATATTGTGCGACCTAGGTATAGAATTAAAAGAGATTTAATAGAAAATACAATCAAATCGTTCAAAATCATACCACAACAACTATTACTGGGGTAATCATACTGGCGATTCGACCAATCATTGAACGTGAATTAATCAAAGTAGTCCGAACACAGGTTGGTGATTGTTCAGCTGAAATAGGACGAAACACATGAATTTTTGCTTCCATTCGAAAATATTTATTTTTGGGTTTTTTAAATCAGTTTATTCATAAAACTCACTAAAGAAGGATGCTTTGCATTTGAAATACCTATATGAGTATAATACTCAAATTATATTATTATTCAATAAAAAAACAAAAAACTTTTAATTTATTTGATTAAAATACACGCAAATCTCTGAAACAATTATTACGTTTTTTATTACTGAAAAATAAGTAAAAAAGCATTCAGCAAAGTGTCAAATCTCATAATTTATTTAAATGCGCAATAGTTGCGTAGAAGATGTAGTTCAATTTGATATAGTTACAATAGTGCTAGTTTTGTTTCCCTAAGTACTGGATTACATTGTACAAAAGGTCAATTTTTATCACTAATATATATTGAATTTTTGTTTTACAAATACGTTTAAAGCTCCTTATCTATAATGCAGTAATGTGCGAAGGGGGGGG